ACGCCTATTACGGCACATCCCTAGGGATTACCAGAACCGATACCTATGCTAAATTTATAAATATCAATGCATTATCCAACAAGGTTCGTTCGAGTATGACTCAGATATCTAGCGGTTATTTATAACCGATCCAATATTTACACAAAAACATTCTCTTCTCCTACGTCAAGGAGAATTAAGATACCGTGCGATTGTCCCACGCCTAAATACATTTATTTTAAAACTACGTCATTGTGATCGTATCGTATTCTATCAGTTTTATTTCTTACATTATGTTTTACTGTGGTATTTAATATCTTATTTATACCTAGACTGTCCTAACTGTTTATTGGATGAATTTTAAAGACTTAGGTATTTCCTAACACGTAAAACGCCACGCCGCGGGTCGGTCACTGGTCAGTAACTGACGCTAAGCGGAGTATTTTCTATCAGCAGTTAAAGGCTTAAAACCTTGAATAAATATGCCAAGAGCAATTTGATGAGACAGAAAACCAGGGCGGTTTGATTTAGTCAGCAAGAGGGTGAGAGTCTAATGGACCTACATTAAATCATTTTACAAACTAATGAAAGATTTTCGACAAGCAGAAATTTTTGTTGGTATTCCTTTCTTCCTTTCCTATGCAGAAAAACAATGATGACAAAGTACAAGACATTAGCGGATAATTAATTTCATTATCTTAAGCCAGTATTTAAACCAAGGCGGATGAAACACAAACTATCATTGAGGAAACCTTTCATTTGTTAACCCGAAATACAATAGTACCCTTTAAGTGTAGAAGAGCCATGCTTCGGCACGAATGGGCCGGCTCGACCGGAGTGATACCACGGCCTCACAGAAAAATCGACTTGAAGCAACGTTTGCGTTGTGTTTCGTCGTGTGAGTGAGGTTACCGGAGGCTCAATTACCCTCCCCTTCCCTAATCTCCCCAATTCCTGAATCCCCAACGATCCTCAAACTCCTAATTCTCAAAAGGCCGGTAACGCACTTGTAACGCCTCTAGTGTTCCAGGTGTCAATGGGCGACGCCGTTTGCTTACCATCAGGTGATCCGTCTGCTAGTTTACCGGCTTATGCCATAAAAAATATACCTCAAAGAATTTTATAGTTAAACACGTATTAGCTCACGATAGCTATTACATTTGTAGACATAGCATACTGCATACATAAGATTCGTAGTACCTAATAATTTATTCACCACATGTGACCTTTGAGGTTCACCTTTACCACATATAGCACAGTTCCGATGAACACGACCCCTTGTGTAACTAAGGGGTTGCTATACCGAGAATATCTATAATCAGCTTATGCACATAACTAGCTATGCACTCGTGGTCTCACTCATTTCCTTACATTGAACAAATTGACGCACGCGTCACCTCTATCAGATGGATTCGCAATAGGTTCAAAAACTGCTTAATATAATATTTTTATGCAGATTCCACTAAGGGATAGTGATTTCTCGAGTATATTAAATATTTGAATGCTTCGGTCGAGGTTATGGGTGGAATGTGTAACGTACCTGTGTTTTTTTTAATTACAAGATTTTAAACAGAATATAAATTCAAGAGCAAGTAAATACATATACACAAGGAACTTCCTATACAAAATTTTTCTTGATCATAATTCTCGGTTGTTAATAATCTAATAATCTAGTTCATACGACATTGATCTATTTATGTCTGCATCTATCGTCCATACGCGATAAAATAACGTTGATATATCAATTTATTACGCAGTAAAACAGCGGACGTGTAGGGGCCTGTTTATGTGCCCCTAGTTCCCTACAGCGAGAAATGATGATCTGTGACGTCATAAAGTAAATATTCCTTCGTGTTATATTTATTATTAATTTACCACATCGTCCGTTTCCAATCCAATTGAAGCAAAAACTCGTTAAGCCAATTAGACTAATGTAATGAAATGGAATTGTGTCTTCAAGGACTTATTTCTATATGACATCTCTTTATCTATGGTATTTGAAATGTCTTTCATTAAATCAAGAGATATTTTGGTACTCCCTAGTTGGCGCCACTGTCGTTTATAGTCCTGGAAGTCCTAATTACTATGAGCGATATCAATTTAGTCACCTGAGTAAAAGGTGGACATGGACATCAATTTATGTATAGAACTTCAACACAAACTTCTACTCTTTTTTTTTTTTTTTAAGGGGGGAAAATCATCGATTGACTGCTCCCGCCTGGGTGAGGCGGAAGGGAGTGTCAGACTCTTACTGACTAAAAACCACCCCGTTCCTTCTCCTGCACGTCGAGCCGGAGCCCCGGTTACCCGTTAGGTTCTCCGCGACTCCGAATCGGCATCGGCCCTATTGGGCCCCATCTGTGGTGGTCTGATGGCTCTTTGAGGCGCGCGCGGAACGCGACGCGCCGTACGCTCGGGTCTGTTTCTGGTCGGACGGGGAGCCACCCATGCTCGCCGTCCGCAGGCCCGCGCTTACGGTGGCCGGAGATCGTCCCGCGATCCCCGACGCCCGGTGTGTCCTTCGCGATGGCTGGGTTGCGAGGAGGCAGCGCTTCGCTGCCTCACGCGTCCCGCCTCCTCCTTAGCTAGCATGACTGCTTCGCAAAAGGAGGAGACGGCATCCCAGTCCCCCTCGCTCCGCATCATGGCCTGCACTAGGCCCGGACGCGAGAGGTCGCCATCGCCGATCACTTCCCTGAGGGCACGGCGGTGCTCAGCCCACGCAGGGCATTCTCCCACTGTGTGTTCCACCGTGTCCTCAGGGCGGTCCTCGCAGTGATGACACCCGGGCGTTTCCTCCCGCCCCATCAGACACAGGTACCTCCCGAAACTTCCATGTCCGGTGAGGACCTGCGTCAGGCGGTAGGTGAGGACGCCGTAGCGTCTCTCAAGCCACTCCTCAAAGAGGGGACTTACCGCTGCAATGGCAGCGAGCCCAAAACTTCTACTCTAACTATCCTTGAGCTTAATAAAACAAAAGTGTTTAAAGAAATAAATACCTAACACTTGAATATGTCACAATGTTGATGCAAATTTTAATGCAAACTTCGACTTATCTCCCACACGTGTTTATCTCCCACTATCACGATCCAAGATCCAAGACAAGATAAATCTGGACCACTTACAAGAGAATCAGTGGAAACAATATTTACTATGACATTGGACTTCAAAATAAAATTCGGGGAAATGGAATGTGAGGCACAAAAATAAACGTGAGATCTATAGTCTGGTCTGTCAGTCGTAAACAAAAAACGCATTAACTTTTTTAAGGTATTAGCGCCATTGTTTTTCTTAGAAATTGCGATGGCATTTGTTACATACTCAATAGAGTTAAAATAAGTAAAGATTTAGTACCTACAGCAGTGATTATCGTGGTTTTTATACATAACAAGTGGGAGAGCGCCGTGCCATGCTTCGAAGACATGAAGCATGCGAATAGGCCGGCTCGACCTGAGTGATACCACGGCCGAGCAGAAAACCGACGTGAAACAACGCTTGCGTTGTGTTTCGTCATGTAGGTGAGGTTACCCGAGACCAAATTACTGAATTACCCCCTCCCCAGTCTCCCCAACAATTAATCCCCAAAAGCCCAGCCTATTGTTTCCGATATAAAATCGTTATTAAGGAATAGTTTAAGTACATACCTAATCATTAAATGTCCTATATAAATTCCAGATACTCGCACAAAATGAAATGCAAAAAAAGTGCAATTATTTCTATTATTGGCAGTGAGATTGGAAAACAATTCGATAGCGACGCTAATTATATTTTTCATAATAAGGATACCATGATAAAACCATTGCTACATGCTGAAACAGTTGCGTCAGTAATATTTAAAATTTTCCTTCCTAAACTCAATAGGTGCCTTTAAAACTAAGTGAAGAGGAAAATACATTTACATTGTGAGGGATTTATGTACCTCTAGACTCTTATTGACTCCAATAAGAATAAACATTACTTCAAAGCCCTAATTGACGTTGTCATTATACTAGAACAGACACTGTAATAGTATAATTATTTTAAATCCGGAATTGCATTGTGCATGCATGAATAAATCCCAATTCGTCACGGATATAATATTTTATTTTATTCTTGAAGCAAGGTTTATAGACTAAAAAAGCGTGACACCATTTACGAACATTACTTTTTTTAAATCATCTCTAATACGACAGATATTTTCTTTCGACTGAGCTGTTCTGGCAATAACGAACATAATGAAAACAAAGAGTTTTTCGTGTTCCTCATTCGAAAGATATACGCGGTGAACCATTTTATGGACTATTTACTCAATTATTATAAGTTTGAAACAGACCAAGTGACAGCAGTTAAATCTTAGAAAAACCCAAATAAGAGAATTTGGATTGATTTACACACAAATAAAAAGCAAAATCTTAATTACAAGTTCCATTAAACGAATATTGAATTATTGATAGAACTTCCTTAATTAATGACATATTAATAGTGAAAGTCATAGAACAGGTCCTTGATTTGACTATTCAAGTAAAAGTTACCAAGAATCGAGTACTTGTTCAAAGAAACCTGCTTGCACGACCAGATGAATATTTAACCTACCTTAATACCAACGACCTCGGTTACATTAGCAACGTTACGTCTAGGGAAAGATGAAGTACTCGAGAATGTTGTTCCAAAGAACATTCTAGATTTTATAGATTCTAATTTTAAATAGTACAGAATTGATAATCGTAAGGACTCAAGCAAAGTTAGAAAAAGTATTATTGGGTTTCAGCATGATACTTCTATGTATAATTAGCCTGGCTATGCTGGCCCGTCCCATGAACACTGCGAATAACTACTGCAATCGTTATAATATAATTCAATCGACCATATGAGATAAGATACGTAATACCTTAGCTTTCATTAGGGCATACTCAAACAATAAGATTTGTATATAATGACCGCTTTAGTTTATGCAACTGATCCGTCAACCATGAGATTTTGAATTCAATTCGAATGTCGGATAAAAAATCGCATAAATTGGCAAATTATTATAAAATTCTTACCTGAAACGCAAACACGACGTATCCAGTAAGGTGGGACTCATGCAGCACGTCGTGCATGGACCGCAGCGTGGAACCAAGGTACACGTTGATCACCTGCGCTGGCAATAGGCCCAGCATCGTCGCTAGGTGGTACCCACAACCACCCACGTCACTTACCTTAACAATAGAAACACAAAATTAGAATAACGAGAACTTAAACTGAAAGAGTTTTGAGAAATAAAGATTAGACAGATTCTGTAGATAGAAACTTATTATCCTTACATATTTATAAGGTCCCTCCGATACATCTCTTTGCCATCTCATAACAAGCCCGATAACTTAAGAACACTCTGCATCTGACCTTTCTACAGAACCTTTCCAATGAGGTCAGCATATTATTATCATCTTTACCGTCTTTACTAGTGTAACTACTGATTTCCCTTTATCGTCTATTTTCTCAACATCCGTAAATGATCTTAAGAAAGACTGTATCTTAAAAGAAAATATCTACATATTTATCAAAAATAATACATTAGTCTACGTTTCCTGGGCCTAACTTAAAAGTGTGTCTTCCTTCTGGGAGTTTCGATTAATATTTAATACTTGACCAGATATGGGAGGTATGTTACAGTGCCAGTCACGCATGCAAATCAAATTAATGATCTTTTTATGAGGAGTACACTCTGACATGTCAAGGACAGAAGGCAGGTACTTGCGTACTACATATTGGGAGTACGGGTAGTACCTGACGATTTTTATAGGAATTCCGCAAGCAAAAATATGATTGGACTTGTTAGCAAATAAACCGTAATTTATACGAAACATCCTATTGAATCAAGTTTATATTCATCCCCTCTGAAAGACAATACCATTCCCAATAAAATAATTGCCCATTTTCATAAACCCACGGTTCCATGAAATCTTACTACGTCCATACTTTAAGAACAATTTGCGTGCAGTAAATACATTTAACTTATGTTAAACAATGTAGATTTGATACACGTCAATCCTATTACCATTTGTCAGGATTATAAAGTTGTGTGCGGTTGACGGTAATGTGTACAATTATATTTTAGTGGCTAAGCATTCGCCGAGCGGAGTCACGACATCTAGATTGCTTTGAAAATTAGCGCCAAACGTACGGCGGCGCCCGGTAAATTAAACAACAATTTTCACAAACGATACCAACTTTATAATAAACAATTCTACACATGCAAAGCACGCAAAGTCCTAGTAACCTACAAATTCACATCGTGACAGTTATAGTCAATTGCGTCGTACGTAACTAAACACTAAAACTGCTTTTTCATCTAGGTATGACCTTTTAAAACACGAGTGAGACAGGTCTAAGAAGGAAGGCTAATCGATTGTTTTTCCTTAGATAAACAAGTTGACCGATCTACGGTGGCCTTGGCGGCGGCGCCGGACGTACGTACGAATGTGTCCAAGTAGGCCAATTACCGACTGTATGAAAGTCAGTGTAGTGGAAAAATTCCTGTAAACACGTCCCGCTTCTCGAACACAACACGAAATGAGTACACAATAAAAAATATACATTATCTCGGAACATAAAATAATGTCAGCCTGACAAAGACGATGGCCTGACGATATTCCGAATGTCTCCAAACAAACGCCTATCTGATATTCAAATGATATTTTTAGATCATTACTGTATCTGTAATGAAATTGGTAACCGTATGTAAATAGTTTTATTGATGTAAACGTTTCCCGAGCTCAGAAACCCGGGTGCCTGGTGTAAGGTATATTTGGCTTGGCCGACACGTGATGTTTATATTTTTCGCTGCAGCTAGAATGACCGCGAAAATAGTGTAAAAATGTAATGAGATCACTCGAGCAGCTAATATATTGATCATGATGACGTCAACTTTCTTATTCTACACTATAGTAGTTTTCGTCAAGTATGAAAATACGTACAGACATACCCGTATTAGAGATCAATTTAATCAAAGTAACAAAATGACAAATTCATCAGGCATTTCTTACAACTTTGTCGCCCTTTGTCTGAGATGAGAATGACACAAAAACGCGCCAAATATTTTAACGACAGACAGAGACCACACAAAAAGACTGCGCAGATCTATATGTAGGTAGTTTTCAAATAATAAATGTAAATACGTTTGGCGGAGGACCAAGAAAGATGGCGACAAAAGTTTACTGCCCTGCACTAGATAAAAACAGGATTCAGTTAAGATAACAGCAGTTGATATCATCACTGGTTACAACCACTAACAATTTTACAATAGACGCAGAAGATAACAAGATAAAGATACTTTGTGAATTACTCATGTCTTTACGGTAGTCCCGGACTTGAAATATACAATATTGATTGCGAAAATCAATTCATCAAAAATTAAGATAACATATCCGATAAGGATATGTAATTACTGTTGACCTTGAGTACCCTGTTGTATGTTGCTTCTAGCAAGTTCTAGCAACACGAAATCACAAAAGTAGACTTACGCACATTGATAGAATCTCCTGCAGCAAAGCATGGACTCGATTTAGAAGTAGTTATTAGTATTTTATGGACAACATGTGACGCAGTCAAACTCTTTGTACTGTCCAATAGCCCCATTTGTTTATTGATGAGACGAGACAAAGACGACGCTGTAATAAAACAGATGACCGTTAAGTACCCTGACGCGTCGGGAATTGTTCTTAGAATATTTGCAAACGAAGTCTCAGAAAACTTGGCGTAAAAAAGATCCTTGCGGGTTCTAATGCTGAAGATCCTCAAACAGAATTCTCGTTTGGCATAACTATTTACAGCTTCAACCGAATCAGTTTACATCTCAGGCCAATTGTGCGAACTGCGACTAATTTTAGCTCACAGACTACCTTGCGTGGGCGATTCTAATAACAATCAATACAAACACAAGAAATCGGATTGTTATGCGTATTAGAAAATGTCGCCAGTCCAACATTGGTTTAGTTAGTCAGTGAAAGCGAAACGGGCAAAGCCAATGGTTAAATGCGAAATTGCGAATGCGGCCGTTCTAGATATTATGCCGAGAACAATGGCTTAATGTTATCATGGAACATGTACGATAGGGTACGCAATAATAAGTATAAAACAATTAATACAAACTGTGAAACAATGCACTTATGATAAAATGGTGTCAACGACGTCTAAGATAATTTAAGATAATACTTGGCGTAGTGTCTGTTATTCCCTGAAGGGGTATCGGTCACCAGAGGAATAAAGAAAGCCATTTTTGCCAGCTTTTTCTAGAACAGTATTGACTGTCATTCTGTCAAACACTGGGGCAGTTCTAGACTCCGTGTTTCCAATGTATTTTAGGGAACGTCCCGAATATTTTGGGATATGTATTTGAGCTTGATTCGGAAATAAAATTCGAAACGATAATAAAACTGACAAAAATGGGAGTCCTGTTAAACCTTTTTTTAAATTCTTCAGGCAACAAATGCCATGATGCTAGTTATGTTCGAAAAGAGCATAGAAATTCTGAAAGGATTTCTACTAAGATCTGTAGATTGAGCTGCACAGCCCATGATATTAATTCTCAACACCATAATACGACTTCAATGCCAACAATTTTAGTACTTTAACCTATTTTCAGCGATAGTGACTTACAATGGTGTTTAGTGTCACGTAACGTAGAACTATTGGAGTTCACAAACATGTTTTTCAAGACGATGCACCGTCGAACATTCGCAAAACTAGTCCACCGTTGAATATGTAAACAAGTTATTTAAACACTTCGTGCAATCCAGACGTGGTATAGAGCATTCTTCTACTTTTAGACAGTATGAAAAGTCATAAGACTGTACTAGCTATCGACCGTGGCATCTAATGGTCTATAACAATATAACTAACATTATAGTTATCCATTACTAAACATTTGAAAGATTCAGTAATTTTTCCGTTTTTTTTTAACTATTTGAGGTTGGAGGGAGAAGATGGAAACTTTAATTTTACTACACAAATAAAATCAGTAAGTCCAACAGTAAATAGATAAATAATAAGAGGTTACAAACTTAAATAAAACCGATACAAATATGGAAGCAAAGCAGAAATGCCGTTATGGCGTGAGTTCATTTCCAAAGTTCACCGCATCAGAGCATATTATCTTATTTCTACAAAATACGCGTGTCATTGTATCATTATCATGTCATTTTATCATTGCCTTACTGACATTCGCTGAACCATGGTATCAAAGCAAAAAATCCTCGAATTGATATAATTATATCTACTAATCTAATTAGATTAGTTAAGTTCAGCAATGGTTGAAATCACACATGTTGGAGAACAGCTGCAAACTGTGGATGTAGGAGACTACAGACAATCCTTATGTCATAGCTGTAACGAGGTTAATTGACCGTGTCATATTTTATTACTTCTTATTAAAGACAGTTTTACAATGACCCTACACTTAATATTACTCTTCTAATGACAGTTGTGTTTATAATTAGCAAACCGTAGACTATATGTTTTTATTTCTGGCTTAAAAAAATTTGGACATCTGTGGGCCAAGTGGGTCTTCCCTCCATTATAGGGTTTGCCATAATTTCGTCGCTTGATGGAGAGGCTATAGATCTGAGTTTAAAAAAGGTCAGTCAGTTTTACTAGAGGGTGCATCTCTGATCTCTGGTAACTGTGTGGTTCCATGGACGATATTATGACAAGACGCGAGAAGGGCACAACAAATGGTTTAAATTCTGTCATCACAATATACATTATTTAAATAAAATAGACTATGAACTGCACGCATGGGAAGTTAAAGCAGTGTATTATTATATGCGTGTGAGCACGAAACTATGTAGTTCCCCGCGCATATAATGAGGACGGAACTATTGTAACGGTGCGCCATTGCCAGTAAGTGTACCATACACGGATATAAAGCCATAAAAGTACATGTCTATAGGCAGCACGTAAACCTACCACGAATTGTACAATTTCTTTGATCGATTCTCGATTTTATTGTCCAACTATGAGGTTTCATATTTATTGTGGATATTTGACAGATTAAGGAAACTTGATGTGCTAGCGTGTATGTTATAAATTGAAGTGACTCAACGTACCGTTTTCTTCATTTGTCGTACAGGCAAGAATTATTATGAAGCAATGCAATTTTGTTGTGAAAATATTAACGACAGTTTATAGAACATTTTGCAAGGTTGGATACATAGAATAGAACCTGAACATTAATCATTAACTATTTACTGTACACCTTTTCTCTAAAATGATAGACGTCACATCTAAAACTCCGGTCTCTTAAGTGTAAAGATAAGCTCTTATGTAGAAAGAAAAACAGTATATTTGCATCGTTACAAAATACACGAAAAATACTTAAAAAAAACAGTGAAAACGGCGAAAAAAGGCCAGCGTCAGCTAAAGAAACCTATAGTCTGTCTGAAGAGACCTATAGAAGTACTTGTAGAAGACACGTAGTCTAAACTAGCAGGGGATTGGCATGGGCCGTTGATTTAGTGTAAGGAGACTGGAAATTTAATGGAATTTTTGCATAAACGTAACCGTCTAAACTTGGAACAGCTACCCACATCGTAGCTGATCGGGTATTGAATCCCCTGATCTCAGTTATAAGTTACAAAAGCTTGGAAACGTGCCCAAATCTCTGAATCAGTAACTATATGTACATGAATAATAGTTTTAATCCGATTAACTTATGTTTAAAGATAAGACAATTGAAGATATTGTACAATCATTGTTGTTGCTAATATGATTATCTACATAGGTACTTTTGAATTATTCATTCGTCATGGTACACTAAGGATGGGCAGTTACTAATCGTGATGAAACCTGGACTTTAGAATCCGTATCTATAGTAATAATTTTATAATGTGTTTCTAGGTGCAAATCTCAAGAACGACTGGATTGACAGGGGTTTGTTCTTTTAAATCGAATCCATGAATATCTTTTATGCAAAAAAGAAGATCTTATTACAGTCAGCTGTAGCCAAATGCCATTTAGCGCTTGTCTACATGTAGAATAGAAAACCAAATTATATGGAATTGACGTAAATTTTGACACTTGTCAGTGTCATCCCCATACATTTTGATTTCTACTCTCACTGTAGACAAGCGCTAAAGTGGCTTTTGGCTAGAGGCCAGTATTCGCCAAAAGGGGATTTTAAGATCAGCTAACAAATTCTAGTGAGTTAAACTTTTTTTACTTTGTCCAACAATTTGGATTTCATACAATTTGACATAGGTACACATGACACCCAGACTCGGAACAACAATTTGTGGATCACACAAAGAGTTGCTTTTGGATCGCCTAAATTGGCATTATTAAATGTATATTTATGTATATGTATGGTATATTACTATATTTTATAGTATATTGGGGAGTTATTATTGGAAGGCACTAATCTCCGGAACTACTGGTCCAATTTAAAAAAAAATCTTTTTGTGTTAGATGGTGAATTTATCGAGGAAGGCTATGGCCAATAGGGACCGAGCAACAGTTAACAATGGAAATTGAAACTGTGCGGGAATTGCTAGTATTGATAAAGCCCGAGTCCAACAATTGTTTTTGTACTGACGTTAATTAGATTTTAAGAGAGGAAAATCAACGATTCTCCGGACTGGGTGAGGCGGGAGGGAGTGTCAGACTCTTACTGACTAAAAACCATCCCGTTTCTACTCCTGCACTTCGAGCCGGAGCCCCGGTAACCCGTTAGGTCCTCCGCGGCAGATTGATACAGTACAAACACAATTAAGTAGGTACATTTCATTTCGTCATAGATATTCACTGATACCTACCAAGTTTATTATATTATCTGTGCATATTTAGCTGGTGTTTATGACGCATCATATATGTATGCACTATGCAGCTAAGCTGGAAATAACTACGGATAAACAGAAAGGATGTTATTAATTGATATATATGTAGTTAGTTAGTAAAATTTCCACAAAACAACACAGCCAAATCGTTTTCAGTTTGCACAACGGATAAATTATTGGTTTAACAAGGAAACACTTCGATTGTACAATTTGTAATGTAAAACTAGTTTTGTGAAGATTATATTCAGAGGCCTTAGTACGAGTTTCGTTTTACGTTAAACGTATTCTAAACGAGTACGGCCCCTTACTCACGGTGCCTTATAGGCAGGTAGAAATATGTTTGTATGTGTTTGTACTCGTATGTGTATTTTGTGCCTATTTTAGATCGACAAGGTTTGAAAATTCAGTTAAGTATGACGTCTAAATTCAAAATATTTCCAGCTCGCATAACTAGATGAATTTCAGTAAATGGGAACACTCAATGTGTTTGTAAACACGATTACCGATCACATGCTTCTGTAGTCACGAGTAAGTTTCGAATTACTAGCGTAACTACTGCAGTCAGTGCTCGACGATACCCATAATTATAGGCCCCTGGCGTGGCTCAAAACAAGTTGAGTCGACCTCGTCAAATAGTTGCGTATGTAAGCTGTACTCCAAGACTACAACGTAATAAACTAGAGACAAAGAACCCAATGGACAGTAGTTACATACTCGTCGGCTTATGGTTTTTTTTTGGAAAAAACAAATGCAATGCTGTTTTTACATTTTTTTTAATGCAAGTCTAAGGGTGCGTCCACATCTGGCGAAAGGGTTGCTTGCGAGCGGTTTGCAGGCCGCCCGCGCGTCACAGCAATGGTTTGGTGCTTAACTCATACAAGGTTCGTATCCTTATCCTTACTAATCCTTACTAATATTATAAATCGGAAAGTGAGTTTGTTTGTTTGTTTGTTCCACTTTCACGCCGTAACTACTAAACCGATTGCTTTGAATTTTTGCAGACGTGAAGTTAGAATTCAGGATTAAATAATAGGGTATTTTTTATCCCGGAAAAATTTGATATTCTATATACGATAACGAAATTATTGGTATAGATGGCGCTGTGTGTATTGGTTCATGTCACATAGGCTACTTTTTATACTTTTATAACGCGAGTGAAGCCGCGGGTAAAAGCTAGTAAATAATAATTGAAAATGCACCGCGTGCTGCTCGCAAGCTGTTCGCGACGCGACCTGCGCATTTGCGGAGCATTCGCCTGATGTGAACACATCCTAAGATATAAATCTGTGACGCAGTAACTACTGTAGGTGCATTACCAATCGCCATTATCCATATGAGGTTGTATTGCGTAAAAAGTTTATGACCAGTTGCAGCTTATCAATATTCATACAGATTGCAACAATATCATTTTAATATACACTATAGTTAAATATACACTGGATGTTTTATAATCTACAACAACAATTTAAAATCAAAACAGTACTCTTCCTACAGTTGGATAAAAAGAATCCATATTGTATTTATTTTGGTACAAACATTCCAATTTTAAATAGTTACTTGGTTCAAGGGATTTTCTTTTTTATTCTTGCTTGCCATAAAGTTGGCAGCCTTGAGTAGACCTATAAAGGATTAACAATGCTGATATTTGTGTGGCCTTCAACTATAACACCCCAGTGCCCAGTGGTGGGGGTGTGAAAAGTGTAAGAAATATTTTATTACCTTGAACTCTACAAGGAATTTATGCTTACAGCCTTAAATCATTTTTAAAATGTACCCATGCTACAGTTACTTGGAAATGTAGCTTTTATTTTGTTAATATTGAGACTAGAAATAGATTAGAATATGTTTGTATAATATTTTTGTGCTGATATTTCAGTAGATATTCAATAGATTCTAGATTCTAGCAGACAGTGTTGGATACATGTCATACAAAAACAATACAATAATAATACACTATAGCCACATTTATACAAAAAGCAACCTTGAAACTAGAGACACAAAAAACAAAGCAAATGCAATTCAAACATGAGATCTTTTATTTACTTATTCATGAATCTAATTTATGCTGGCAGCTTATACACCTTGTTCTAAATTTGAATAAGATAAGAGAGTAATATTTTCTTTTTTTTAACAGATAATAAATCAATCTACTCAGGCTATCTATCACAGAGTACTGATAAGTTTAATGAATGTGTGTATGGAAATATGTGTATATTATATTAAATTACCTAGATAAAGTAATATTAATATTTAAGATACAATTTGTTTTTATATATGCTTACAATTTTTTTGTGCATGGGAATACACTGACTTTATTGTTATTCAACTATTTATGAACCTAATAATTTTAAGCATTGATTGAAGGAAAAAATGCAACAATTAAAGTATTTTTAATTAAGAGTGTGCAATTAAAATATTTTAACCAGTTTAGTAGCTTAAAAATAACTTATAAAGTAAGTAGAAAAATAAACAAACAGTTACTTACAGCAAATATTGTGTTCTGCAATCCAAAAGGTATTGGCGTCAGTCTCGCGAAAAATACAATTTTGAAGGCTTGCGGCCCCGAGATCACCTTCAGTAGGGCTCGCGCCGTCTCGTTCTTGAGCAGCCGGTCCAGAGGCAGGTAGTTCCGCAACGCTTTCAGGGTAAAGTGAGCCACCGCCACGCCAAAGTTCGCACTCACCAAAACAGTTACTAAACCCTTAACGATCCCGAATAAATATCCACTAGTTATTATCAACACTAAATATCCTATCGTCACTGGAAAACTGACGATCAAAAATAAACCCATAAATAACAAAAATATTATCCACGGATCCTGAGCGTCTACCCAGTATAAAATCGTCTTTAGATACTCCTTGAAAAAATAAAGCACCAGAACCAGGCATGTGAGCAACAGTATTGATACTACGATGTTAAATAAATAACTGTACGTTGTCCTATTGTTAATTTTAGCCCATAAACTTTTCTTTCTAGTGACCGCTGTAGGGTCGGGCTGGCATTCTTCAACGTCGACAATTTCCATCATGACTTTCGTTCACGAAAATTAAACAAGGTCTATAAACTATTGTGTTTTTTAAAAAAGGACACTATTTCGTTCGCCATGGCCCAATTCAAGCGACTGTGTTTATTTCACGTTTACGCACAGCAGCGACCAAAATTCAACGAACAATCAACCACTTTGACCACTTTTCACAGACTATAATAAAATTTTGACTGACAGAATTTCATCAAATCAATTTGTCAAAATTTGACATCTACTAATGTGTTGCCAGGTGATAATGATTGTAATACAGTTATTTTACGATTGCATCATGATTATTAATTACTTGAGATAGTTGCTAGGTATTTATTATATCTTGTGTCAAATACTACTTTAAGTTTTTAAATTATTTCAGTAATACTTAAAATAAGATCAAAAAATAAAAGTAAACTAATCTATGCTATTGCTATATGAATAAAAATATCTCAACTGTCAAATATTGCGTTCCATCTCCGAAAAAACATAGTTTTCGCAACTTCACATTAGACAGAGAGAGATGGACAAGAAATTCAAGTAGTACGAAAAGGTTGTTATGTTAAAAACTGACATTTTGTTGAAACGTCATTCTTCCAAATTCACATCTGTGCAGTGGTGTGCACCGTGGACTAGAATATATTTACTTTTAGAAATACGTGTTAAATATTAAATAGTTTAACTATTAATAGTTTAACATTCTTATAATACTCAATTTAGTTTGAGGAAGAAGAATTGTACTAGGTTTATATTTATTTGAAGGTTCGAGAAAAGACATAACCATGCCGCCGAAGAAAGCAAGCGGCGGCGGCGGCGGCAGTGGTGGCCCGAGTAAAAAGACAGAGGCGAAGAAAAAGGATAAAGTTATCGAGGTGATAAATATAACACGTTATAGAGCATTGCATTATGAGTATTTATGTTGAACATAGATATTCTCTGATACGTCTCTCATACAGTTTATGCGCAAATATGGGTCATCTCATTCGTCCTTTATTCTAGAAATTCTTATAGGTAACCAATCAACTCATAAATTTATCAGGTCGCAGAAAACTATGGGAACTATCTCCCTAACTTCACAATCTACGATTCTAAACTAAGATTGGTTTAACAGGATAAAACCTTTGGGCTTAAAAATAAGAAGGGAGCGAAGCAGCAGAAGTTTATTCAGCAAGTTGAGAAGCAAGTGAAGAGTGGCGGCATTCACCCTGCCAAGCCTATGGATGACAAGAAGAAAGAAAAGGAGGCCAAAATGAAGGAACAAAAAGAATTAGCGATGCTGTTCAAACCTGTGCAGACACAGAAAGTTGAAAAAGGTATTATTGAATAGGTCCACTTGTCATTGGTTGCTGTTGCTTACGGGCTAAGCAGCATATGCACTCTGTCATAGGCTAGGCAGCATAATCACTTACCACCAGGCGAATAGTGGCCAAAAGGCGAACCATTGCCAATATAAAAATGAATATTGTTTATTAAGACATTATGATAGACTTATTTTACAAATCACATTATCATTTATAATTTTATGTTATTATCATAGACAAAGATGTGTAGCTTTTACATTTTCTTTTCTTCCTCTTTGTTGATCAACAAATGAGTTTCATGTTACTTTACATATAAATGAAAAATTAATTGAATATAATTTAATATTGCTCCTCTCTTTGGCTGCGTCGTTGGCCAAGTAGTCGCAAGTGCGACTGCTGGGCAAGGGGTCTCGGGTTCGATTCCCGGGTCGGGCAAAGTATTACTGGGGTTTTTGAAAATTCTCAGTAGTAGCACGGAGTCTGGAATTGTGCCCGGTATATGGCAATAGGCTCACCCCCTATTACATGGGACTTATAACATAAATAGTGAAAAGTATGTGTTACATTGTACAATGGCATAATGTTCACCTCTGCCTACCCCTTCGGGGATAAAAGGCGTGATGTTATGTTATGTATAAATTAATATTCAAATATTTCATGCTGTACAGGACTAGTAAAAATTGTACAATTCCTTTAGAATGTATTTAAGTAATTAACTTAATTATTTTTCCTAGGTACGGACCCCAAGTCGGTGGTGTGTGCATTCTTCAAGCAGGGTCAGTGTACGAAGGGAGATAAGTGCAAGTTCTCGCACGACTTGACACTTGAAAGAAAAGTATGTATATCAATTATTTTCAGTTGCATTACTGTAAAGTTTAAAGTTTTGTAGCTATTTTTTACCCAATTGAAGGAAGGGTATTGTTTGCACACTTATCTTATATGTATGTATATGGGTATGAGTGTAATATTCTTTATTTAAAAGGTTTTATTATGTATTCCATTTTTAGAATGACTTCATTAAGGTATTTGACTAAGGGTTAATTGATTGCATAGTTTTTGCAATGATTAAGCAACTGTTGTCATTGTCAGTTTCATTTTCATCTATTTTATTTTGTGATCCACATATTGTGGTTCTGGGTGTAATGTTATGTGAACATACAAGGTGTAGTTTTAAAACCATGGCATTTCTCGTGGGCATGTCACAGAAGTCATTAAGGTTCAATGTAAGACAAAGTTTCGGGCCAATAGTTAAAAATACGACTATAATAAATTGTTTAAGTTCGACAGTACTTCAGAATAAGCGACAGCAATGTTTCTTATTATAGTTTTATGGAATTAGGAATAATATCAATTACGTGTTTGAGTTTTTTTGTGTTAAGCGGCGTTACGGATTTCGGTAAATTACAGGAATAACAAATATTTACCTACAATTTTTTTATTGATTCGAACTCAGAATCGATAGCCGAGTTACCTCCTAGAAAATGATGCGGCTTTAAAACAACACCTTGTATAAATGCCGCATCACTCACATTCTAAAATTCACATTGCAACATTTTGTCAGGTTTTATGTCAGAGTCCAAATAGATAAAAATATAACTTTTGTTTAAATTTTACAAACATTTCTATTCCAGGCTGAGAAACGATCTCTATACGTGGACATGCGAGATGACGACGACAATATGGACAACTGGGATGAAGATAAGCTAAAGGAAGTAGTTGAGAAGAAACACGGCGAGGGTGATAAGCAGAGACCTACTACTGATATTGTAAGTTTTAATAAAAAATATTGTTATTCCTACTTTTTTTTATGGCATAAGCCAGTAAACGAGCAGACGTATGACCTGATGGTAAGAAATCGGCGTCGCCCATGGACACCTGGAACACCAGAGGTGTTACAAGTTCTTTGGGGATTAAGAGTTTGAGGATCGTTGGGGATTCAGGGATTGGGGAGATTGGGGAAGGGGAGAATAATTGGGCCTCCGGTAACCTCACTCACACGACGAAACACAACGCAAGCGTTGCTTCACGTTGGTTTTCGGTCGAGCCGGCCCATTCGTGCCGAAGCATGGCTCTCCCACACTTAAAAACATATAAGTATAGAAAAATAAATAATAGTACCGTGTCCAGCTGATCAAACATTTAGATACATTTAGATTTTCAACTTAATTGTTTAAATGTAAAGTATGTGTAACCGGCTGGCATCTGTACAATTACTGTTTATGCAATCTGATAATTTAACTCAATCTATCATAATAGTATACAGGATTATATTTTAATATAAATGATGTAATGAAATTTCCATTTTTCACAGATCTGCAAACATTTCTTGGAAGCTGTAGAGAAATCAAAGTATGGGTGGTTTTGGGAGTGTCCTTCTGGTACTAAATGTATATACAGGCACGCTCTCCCACCAGGCTTCGTTCTAAAGAGAGATAAAAAGAAAATGGAGGAGAAGAAGAATGAGATCTCTCTTGTCGACCTGATTGAAAGAGAGAGAGCCGCACTTGGACCCAATCAGACAAAGATTACATTAGAAACTTTCCTTGCCTGGAAAAAGAAGAAGATTAAGGACAAACACGTAAGTTGTGCAATGATTACTAGTTAGCTTTCTGCCCTTGGCTTTGCCCATACCACTGGATAAATGTACATTGCAAACACTGTTATGATGTGACAAAGATGATATTTTATGCTGAGTTAACTAAGCATATATTTTGTGTTTACTCAAAAGTGTTTTCTGTTTATTAAAAAAATTTTGTCCAGAACTTGGCTTGGGACAAATTGGTGTAACAAAAAGAGTTTAATAACAATTTTCCTGAACCAGGACGCTCAAACGAAGGCTGAGGAGCAACGTCGCAGTGACTTCAAGGCGGGTCGCGCGGTGGGTCTGTCCGGGCGCGAGATGTTCTCGTTCGACCCGGCGCTGGCGGCCGACGCGGACGAGGACGACGACGAGGCCGTCGACCTCGCCACCTACGGGGACGAGGACGTCGACACGACGGAATACAGAGAAGTACAGTTCGACCTCATCGCTATGGAAGCTTCCGAGGTCAGTATAAAAACACCATTTCTTATTTTTATTACAAGCTTTTGTGTAATTTTTAATACTCAATTTTCCTCCGCTTGCGAAGGCCTTTCCAGCCTTTGGTCAGCAGTGGCCACTTATAGACTATAACATAAACATAACATAACATCACGCCTTTTTATCCCCGAAGGGGTAGGCAGAGGTGCACACAGAAGTAACACCCACTTTTCACTATTTATGTTATGAGTCCCATGTAATAGGGGGTGAGCCTATTGCCATATACCGGGCACAATTCCAGACTCCGTGCTACTACTGAGAATTTATTAAAAAACCCAGTAATACTTTGCCCAACCCGGGAATCGAACCCGACCACTCAGCCAACGAGGCAGTCATTTACCTCTATAAACTATAGAGTTGTTGATGTTATATGTATGTGTGTGAAGTGGAATCTTGCAACTCAATTTTGAAGCAGATATCTTTAATCGATTCAGCTGCCATTAGTATACAAAATTTCCATGACCATAAATGCTACACACCTATAAGCTTGTTGGTTAGCCCATTTATTGATGAAAGCTATAATAATATATAACACGCTATGATCAATAGGAGCTGGGCAGCGAGTGAAAACGCGCACTAGTTTATGATAAATAAATAAAATGAACATTATAACTTGCCTCCAGGCGGACGACACGGGTACCAAAGCGACAGAGGACAGACTGCACCAACTAGGCCAGGGTCTGTCCAATGGAACCAGTTCTACTGGCGACGGAGACGACACTCAGTCCTCCAAGGAGGGATCCTCTACCGACACCGCCTCCGCTGTACCCATCAACGAAAACCTCTTTTTAGATGAAGATTTAGACGAAGAACTTCAAAACTTAGACTTAGAAGATTAGTATTTATAATTATATACAAAGTGTGACCTCATTGGACCGTTTATGTGATGATAATATTGTTGTAAAGGCTTAGCTTATTGGTGGCACGGGAAGACATTTTTGTGATGAAGAAAATTGTACCTTGTTGTGTGTTTTTATGGTTGAAAATTGCAATACAGATATAAAATAAGTGTATTGGTAACAAATCAAAGCTGTTCCTATGTGATAGAGTTGAAATTCCAATGAGTATAAAATCTAATTTAAAACTGCCACGCTCATTGGAATTGCAACTTTATTTACTACATGTTTACGGTAGATTTTTATTCAACACAACTTCATTGCCGAGCCATACAATGAGTTAAGTCTGAATCATTAGGTATATTTAAAAAATGTAAATGACAAAGCTAAAAGCGTCAATTTATATAAAAGTGTAGAAGTTAGGCACGGTCCCACTTTGTATATAATCTCACATTTTTACCGTCCCGGGTATAAAATGTACTACAGGATCCTACAGACGGACAAATTCATTACAACATTATCCTGCTTACAATACAATCGATTTTCAGCTTTATTGCATTCGCTATAAGACAGATGGTAGCTGCAAGGAATGGCTTGTGACAAATATAGAGTTTACTTGCAATTCCATACTTATACCAATGGAATAGAAGTTAAAATCGATTAGATTGTAGATTAGCTGCCTTCGTTTAGAGATTGTACGCGTTTTTTTCACAGTTACTTCTTATGTCCTTATTATAAGTTGTAATAAATATTTATATGTTACCTTCTCCCGAATTTATTCAGCTAGGTTATTCTGTAACTCAATTGGAACTTTCGAAGTGAGCTGGATCGCATTCTCGCCCGTCATTGGTCGAGATTATTCTCGCCAATGACATGGCGGGATGCGATGGAGTTGACTTCGATCTTTCCAATTGAAAGGTATACAATAGCCTAGGTCTTATTTATCAGCTTTCCTAATGAGTTTGATTTTCTATAGTTAGACCAATATTAATATACCTAAGTATAGTACCTGGCGATGAATATTGCACACCGACCTTTAGACAACCGGCCAAGTCGCTGCGTATACTGCTTATAATATAAGTCGCTAAAACTAGTCGACAACTCAAAAAAAAAAGAAATAAATGAATGATATATTATATTTTTCGACTTACGTAACTGTTAGACAAGGAACTCGACTAGTTTCAAGCCATGATAGATGCTTGAGCTAGAGCCATGCTCATATTTATGAGCAAAAAAAAAATTGCTTGCCTGTAAAGTCGGTATTTTTTTTTTTTAAGGGGGGAAAATCATCGAATTACTGCTCCCGCCTGGGTGAGGCGGAAGGGAGTGTCAGACTCTTACTGACTAAAAACCACCCCGTTCCTTCTCCTGCACGTCGAGCCGAAGCCCCGGTTACCCGTTAGGTTCTCCGCGACTGTAAAGTCGGTATACGGGCGAAAGTTTTACGTGACAACGACTTTGAGTGGTAAAATATTATGTCTGTCTCTCTCGCTCTTAGGCGGGCTAACCATGCCCGAGTGGAAGGGACGCGTGCCTCTCACTCGCTCTCATTGTGAGCGCATAACGTGAGCGGAGCGTAACGCAGTTTCTTGAAGTGTCACCCGGCAAACCAATTTATAAGACGTCACGTCAAAAATAATTAATTTAGTTGGTTGTGAAAGTTATAATATAAATAAAGAAAAATATCTTAACCAGTCGTGTGTCTAAACGTGGAACCATGCGAGGCACAATGTATTTTCTATTGTGTGTCATATTGGTGCATTCAAGCGGTTAATAGACAATATTGTCTTTTTCCAAAAGTTGATGTGCAATATATCGCCAGATACTGCACATCGGTTTTAGTCGAACTAGTCCAATCTGGTCCAGACAATAACAAATACATTACAGAGTGCCAAGCACGAATAACTATAGCATTCGTAACGTAATAGTATCGAACGCGTTCGGCGCTCTGATTGGCCAGCTCAAGTGAACCAACCAATCAGAACGCTTAACTCGCGCGATACTGTTACGATACGAATGCGATAGTTAATCGTGCTTGGCCCTCAGGTATTAAATCTATGTTTTACAGTAAATGTGCAATTGAACGCGTATTAAAAGATCTTCATAAAAACCCAATGTGAATGTACTGCTCATAAATTATAATACACTGTCGGCAACAAAATAATAACATATTATATGTAAATAAAATAACGTATTTTCAACTAATGTTTGTTTTATTTTCTTTCTAAATATTTTTCTTTAGGTAAATGCAAATGGAATCTCGAAAACATCTCTATTCCATTCCATAATAAATGTATGGTGTTAAATCTATGTATAAATATATTATATACATACATATATATTAAATATAAAGCTGAAGAGTTTCGTATGTTGGCTTAAAATATATTTAGAAACTAGCTGTTGCAAGCGACTACGTCAGCGTAGAATATGAATTTTAGGACATAACTTTTTTCTTTTAATTTTCCGTAATAAAATATCCTATGTTAGTCCTACACCAGCTAACTGCCAATAAAAGTCCGTCAAAATCGGTCCAGCCATTCAAGAGCAGCCAGTACAAACAGAGAGACAAAAAATTGTAAAAATGTCATTATATTCATATGCATGAAGTAAAAAGCGGTTATTTTAATATTACAAACATACACTCCAATATGCGTTCTTTTGAACGTACATAAGGCACAATAATTTCTTGTTAATATTTTAATAAATAACGACCCGCCCCGGATTCGCACGGGTGCAATATGTATGTATTATACATACATATAAACCTTCCTTAAGAATCACTCTGTCTACATATTTAAAAAATTCGTTGCATAGTTTTAAAGATCTAAGCATACATAGGGACAGACAGACGGCGGATAGCGGCTTTGTTTTATGCTATGTAGTGATTTAGTTTTCAATCGCCAACCATCGCGCTGGGTTTTCAGTCGTAATCATATCTATTAGTTCTTGAGAGAATCCCTTAGATTTCATCTTTGGTAGCACATTGTTGATAATGTGTGCGTAGCCGTGGCCGCCAAATTTAGTCTGTGGATAAATAGAATGGGTTAAAAATGCATCCATATTCCTATATAATTAATATAAACAGTCGATAATTTCAATTCTATTATAATGGGATTCAGATGGCCTAAAATCGTAAAAAGGTCGTATCTATGAGAGAATTATATAACATGCGTGATATTAATATGATGTGTGTACCGTTCAGTACCTACCGTTTGTGTTTAAAAAGTACTTAAATAACAGATATTTTCAAACAGCAGATCATTATTACAACATGGTTAAAGTTGATTACTGAAAAATAGTTTAAAGGTCCTAAGTCAATACTGCTAAGAGGAAAAACGAACTCAGCAGTCGTAGTTCTAAAGTTCAAAACTATAAAATCATTGGCCCTTAACTCACCAGTCGGTGCTTCGTATGAATGTCGTGGGACATCAGTATCCTGTTTCCTCTGCCCTCCTTCACAAGTGCTGCCATCTTTTGTATTCTTTGGGCGTCGCTCAGCATGTCTGTTGTGACCTCAAGTTGGTAGTAGGACACTTCGGTTCCGAACAAATCAAACTGGCAATATGTGCCGAGCTGAGAAAATTCCAATAAAATGTCGTCTTCTACTAATGTACCTGAAAATTAGAGTATATGAAGTAGGTAGGTTAACGGGGCCTACAGCGCCAAGCAGGAGTAGGAACGGAGTGGTTTTAGGCAATAAAAGCCTGTCACTCTCTCGTCTCACCTAACGCGGGAGAAGTCAAAGGATGGATGATTTTCCCACATAAATAAAATACCGTTCACAGCGGTACTGAACGACTGTAGGGCCTAAATAAAAGTAAGTGCTTAGAAGGGTTCGTGTTTATCTAAGCGCAGAACTGAACTTAGTGGCATGCTATGAAAATACCCTATTTAAGTCCAGCAGTAGAGAAATAAAAAGAACCTTTAAACAAAAGAGCGCACATACCTCTAGATACCTATATGTACTTTTTTGATGACTAACCGCTCTCCACTAACTCCATTATAGACCTTATTTCCAATGTTTATAGACTACTTTTGTATGAACAAATTTAGGGGATGATTTTCAACCATTTTCAACGGGTTAAATAAAGACGAGAACGCACTTGCGGCTGCGCTGATGTTGCGGTTGCGCCTACCATCAAGTGAGGAAATCTGTCTGCTCGTTGGTCTCCTAATCAAAAAAAAACCTAACAACACAAAAACACTGGTGTGATGGGTTCATCTCTTGGCTACATACCCAATAAGATGGCAGATTACTTACGATCCAAATGCGACATGACGACTTTGTCTGCGGAGCCTCCTGCCTCCAAGTAAAGACGGATGATTTCGAAGGGCGCTTCCTTATTCCGGTGAGGATGGAAGCTCACGCCACATTTCAGCTGCGGCTGCAATTCCCCAGCAGCCTTTATTGCCTTGCGTTCAAAATCTAGAAGAACGAAAATAAATATTTGAATAATTTAAAGATTAAAAGAATGTTAAAAGTTGATGTGTTCACGAAATGGCGCTATTGTGGCATCAGGTTATAATTGTCTCCACCAGGGCACGAAGCCGCGGAAGACTTAACGGATTGCCGGGGCTCCGGCTCGGATAATTGGATGATTTTCACCCCTCAAAAAAAGGTTATAATTGTCTAATCAATGTAGATACTATATCTACATTGATTAGACTATACAAATTATATAGCTATTACAAATTGACGATCAATAGATAGAAAATTCCGAAATACTATTTCACACTCAGGACCTTCATAGGCGCCATCTGGTGAGAACAAAAACGTTAGCCCTCTCTCTAACCTCTCAATGGCCAGACGCTAGCAATCTCTCCCATGAAACCAGCCTTGACTCCTTCAAAATTCACACAGCCCTTCGTCAGCTCCTGCAGCATGTGATTGTAGACATCTTCAGTAGATTTTTGCAGGGTATCTCCACTCTGCAAGTCTGCTATGTAATGGCCCGTTCCAGCAACGATGTGGACGTTGCTAGCTCTTGACACGTTCTGGTAAAACTTTATATCCCGGTTCAGGCCTTCCGTTGTGTTTTCTACTATGGTACCTGGGAAATAAATGGTAATAGATTAAACTTTTTTTATACTTCGCTTCGCACGGGTACAATATGCATGTATTATACATAAAAAGCTTCCTTAAGAATCACTCTATCTATCTAGAAAAACCGCATTAAAAGCCGTTACGTAGTTTTAAAGATCTAAGCATACGTAGGGACAGACAAACGGCAGATAGCGACTTTGTTTTATAGGTACTTTCTATGTAGTGATAGGTCAAGGTTTGGCCACCATCTCGCTTGCCTAACAATAGCTACTAACAACGCTTAAGTACGTCGTGTTTTGCCGTGTTACTGATGGACGTTCAATTCAATCCGCTCTCTCATAAATACCCAATAGCCAAACGGCCGGCCACGTTCTTCTAACTCCTCTGAATGTTGCAGGTTTCCATGGGTGGACCTATTGCTTACCATCAGATGAGCCGTCTAATCATTAGTTACCTTACACCATAAACAAAATTACAAATTGACCTAGGTCGTCCACAAACAGGTCAAACCTAGATATAATATTTTTCTCAGAAAGTTTATAACAGTAAAAATCTAATCGAAAACGAGGAGTTACCAAGATCTTTACTCACCTCCTCCAGCACTTTTGTATTCGATGACGTCATCGGTGACGGCACTTTGGGCTGCATCATCATCTAACTGCAAATTGTACCTCAAGCTGTACGGGTATTGTCTCACGTAGCCTATTCTATGGAGTTCTAAGCTTGGAGCTTGGAATTTGCCAGCTAGTGTAGATGGCGGTTCTCTGTAGAAATGCTCGAAGTTCATAGCCAGATGTTCATGGGTCAGGGTGCGACCTAAAACCGCTGGACTCACGTCTCCTAATACTGAAATAATTCGCATTAATTTGTAGTTTCTAAAAGAAGGTAATAGACGTGTGAAATTCCAGAGGTCATTGCTTTGCTTGAAACTAGTCGAACTACTGAACTACCTACTTAAAAAGACTGAGATCAGGATCAAATATAAATATCACTGAGTAAATATCACTCATTGCCTGAAGGTTTTTCAATTTCTATAGATAGTCATGTCACATGTGGGTGGTGAAAGAGGGATGACGACAGGGTATGAAAAATAAAAATTTCATTAGTCCGTCAATTAATGAAAAAATATTAGAAACGTATTTTTTTATTTTGTTGTATCATAAAATAATACTTAGATATAACAAATCAAAGTTTAGGAGTGGGGGCTAAAACGTCATTTCTACGTATAAAATGTACATAGAAGTGACGTCACGCGACATTTCAAATCAATATATCGTCGAAAGTATTCGTTTCTGTAAAAAAATACGTGTGTAATGTTTTAAAATAATCTACCAGACGGACAGTAAAATAAAAATTCGTCATTTACCCTATTGTCGACTGTAGGTACCTATCTACCCACTTTGGTAAGTTGAACAATGCATTCATAATACGATAATACTGTGTTCTTAGTTCTTACTGCTTTATTTATGTAAATTAGCATACTAACATATCAACTAATTCATTAGCAAAGAAATCTTTGACTAGATAGGTAATTTTCAGTGATTAAATATTTGATGTTTTTGGTTTTCCCGGTAGATAAATCTGGAAATCAACTTTCCAACCGAGGTTATTGCCTAATACGATCAAAATAAATATAGACCCGATAGCAAAAAAGTAGTCACGGCAAGTCAAGTAGAGGCAAAAATAAAATACTCACCAGTTTGCACCTTCGAAGACATTGTTTTATTAATTTACGGTCCTCACTAGAGCAAAGTTGGCGCTCAACTGCGTCAAATAAGTATTTAAGGTTGTTTATTGCTTATCAATGTAAATATTTATACCTAAAGTAAGTATATCTAAATAAAGAGATAATGTTCCAATGATATTAATGAATACGTGTAGATATCTTGTCATGCGCAAGCACATCCAAATAGTGTATCATTTATAACACTGCGAAACGACAGACAGTAAAATATCGAATCAGTTTACTCGATTCGATAACCAATGAAACTAGACATCGAGGTCAAGTTTGCTGGCGAACATAATAAACACGCAGGGCTGCCATATTTAAAAATAGATCCCGGCGGGTCCATCCATTCTGCCGCGTTTTATTCTGCGTTGAATGGAACGCAGTGCGCGGGAATTTCAACATTCTGCCTTTACTATAGCAACGGTTGTTGTTTTGTGGAGCGCTATATCGTTAGACACTTTTGTTTTTACATAAAATATTTATCGTATTCGTAAGTTCGTTACACAATGCCTATTTTAGTAAAAGATTTCACGTGGTCTCAAACAAATAAAGTTGTTCATATTAGAGTCCCGTTAAATCCGGTTGCTCATGAGAAAGTAGATCTATTCCCTACTGAGAAGTACATAAAGGCTAATTTTAGTCCATTCTTGTTCGAAGTATTTCCACTTTACGACGTAAATATAAAGAAAAGTAAATGCTTTGTTAAAGAAGACGTGATTATTTTGGACTTGATGAAAAATGATGAAATTACATGGGAATGTTTAGAAAAGGAGCTTACAAAGGAGGAGAAAATGAAAATAAGACAAGAGGTTCTTGAAAAGTGCCTGGAACAAGCGAAGCAGGAATCTGAAGATAGAAAAATTAAAAAGAGCCAGTTGGATAGGTACACTGTTCAGCAAGCAATGGAAATAGATAGTCAACAACATAAGCTGATGGACTCTCGGCGGGATCACGAAAGAAAGAAAGCTATGGATGAGTTAGAAGAGTGGAGAGTAGGTAAGGTGAGTGTTACAGAAGAATCTAATGGCACTGAATTACAAAGAGGAGATGAGAAAATTAAAGCACTTCCACCACCAAAAGACGAAGAACGGGTTGAAATCAATACGACAAAAGTTGAAAAAGGAGTACAGAAAAAAGACGAAGAGAAAATGAAAAGGGAACCAGTATTAAAGTCAGTACCGAGAGCGCAAAAACCTCCAAAGCCTGTGAAGACTCCAGTAAAATCTGAATACGTGGAAAAGAAGAAGGTGGAGACTGCAAAGAGAGTGTTACCAAGGTTGAGACAGACTATGAATTTGGAGATTAACCACACGCCGCGGACTTTCCCTACGCCCAGCAGAGAATCTACTGCCGATGAAGAACAGGCTTGGCTGAAGAATATTACTTTAGCAAGACGAGCGACTGGTAAGATGATCTCCGTTAAAGACTTCGCCTAGGTAGTTGGTGTTGGTACCCACAAAAAATGCATCTATAAGTTGGTACTGTTGGTATACGCTGATGTTTGATGCCAAAACATAAAATTTTGGAAGTTAGAAGGATTTCAATCACTATTGATTTATTTATACGTTATAAGTTTTAATAATATCTCTTCGTTGTAATATTCAGGTTTTGTCTCCGAAGACCTAAGACCAGAAGAACAAGATCCTCAATGGTGCAAGGAGAAGGGTGATGAATTCTTCAAAAATGGCAACTTTCTCGGAGCCATCAGTGCGTACACTCACGGCATAACACTATCAGACAAACTGCCCACCTTGTTCGCCAATAGGTCTGCTACTCACTTCGCACTTGGCAATTTTAATAAATGCGTGAGTATTTTTCTGAAGACTGAAATAGCTGGTTGATATTGTAGTCTCGTAGAAGAGAGATAGCTCAAAACTACTCAGTGGTCGCAAGCGATCACAAGTCTGGTATTTTTTATGTTGGTTAATAAATAGCAGTCCTTAATTAATTATTTGCAATCTTATGGATTTCAGTTGAATGACTGCTCTACAGCCTTGGATCTTATGAAGCCACCGTGTGAGAGTAACCGACGCAGTCGTGCGAAGTGTATCGCCAGGCGGGCGGCCGCACTCGCTCGTCTAGGCTACCTTAGCAAAGCCATCGACGAAATGAAAGCTGCCGGCAAACTGCTACCGGACGACGAAACCATTCAAAAAGATATTTATGACATGGAAAGAGCATGGGAACAAAATCCCGATTCCGATTAATGGAGATGTGAAAGCAAACACAATTTTACAACAGAAACATAATATTTATTAGGAATAAAATTATAATACATTAACGAAATGCATATTGCTTTTACTCTTCAATAATAACTTTCTTGGGTAAACCAAGATTCTTAAGTAGAGCATGTGGAGAGGGGTCCCGACCTCGGAACCTCCTGAACACCTCACTAGGATGACAACTGCCTCCCACAGCTAAGAATGTGTCTCTATATCTCTTTCCCACTTCGAAAATGTTCTGGTCACCCTTCTTGGCTTCTTCAAATGCACTGTAGATGTCCGCAGCAATCATTCTGGACCATAACCGGCAGTAGTATGCACTTCCCCACTCCTCAGAGAAAATCTTGGTGAATGAAAGGGGATGGGAATCGTACTTGTCGAAAGGTAGAGCATGGTATTTGGGCCACATCTCCCTCACAATGTCTCTCCAGAAATCCTTTTTCGTGTGCAGTTCCAAGTCAAGTTTGGATAAGTACAGCTCTTTACACAAGTTGTATCCTGACATGTGGCCTCTGATATTTTGTAGGTTCCTCACTATTTCATCAGGTAAGGGCTCATCTGTTTCGAAATGACCACTGACTGATTTGATAATCTGTGGGTCATACAGCCAGTGAGTCATCACTTGCCCACACACCTCAGCCGCATCCCATTCCACATTAGAGAGCCCAGCAACCTCCGAGTAGTTAGCCTTCGTCAGTAAATGACGAAGTGAATGACCAAATCTTTGGAACAGAATACTAACTTCATTGAATGACAGTAAAGATGGTTGACCATCTGATGGAGTTTGGAAATTAAATATTAATGCAGATAATGGAGCAGTGCCAGTTGATGTGCATTTGTTTCTGATAGCAATATGCCACCCTGCATCATCATAAATGCGAATTTTTAGATCTTTGCGAGCATATGGATCCAAGTAGAAGTTAGCTACTGGATCTGTACTAGACTCATCAAACACATCATAGAATTTGACATCCTTATGCCAAGTATGGATGCCTGTTCTCTCTACAATCTGAATATTAAACAGCTTACTGCAGAGTTCAAAAAGACTATCAATAACTTTAGGCAGAGGGAAGTATTCCCGAATTTTGTCTTCATCAAAGCCATACATTGACCATTTCTGTTTTCTCTGCCAATAGGGTATGTCCCAGTGTTCTAACTTGACATCGAAACCTCTTTCCTGTGCATATCTCTGTAATAATTCAATTTCTGCATCCTGCATTGATCTGGCACTCTCTAGCAAACTGTCTAGGACATTGTTTACATTTTCCACAGACCCGGCCATTTTGGTTTCCATGCTCATATCTGCAAATGTTTCATAGCCCAATATCATTGCTTGTTCTCTTCGTAGACTCCTTATGTTCTCTAAATTTGTGGCAGTTTCAATTTCTTTGTTTACATAACTAGAACACCTTTGTACATGTGCCTGCCAGGCGTTCCAACGGAGCTCCCTGTCAGGACAGTACTGCATAAATGGTTCGTAGATATGGGGCTGTAGTGTGACTTTCCAAGGTCCTTTGGAGGGATCCGCACCCATAGCCATAGAGTATACTAACCCACTTGGAAACTCTCTCATAAGATTTGCATCTTTGATGGTACTTGTGAAGACTTTGTTAGCAACATTTACTTTATCTCTGAACATTTGCCGTTCCTGTTGTAGCCCAGCCAGGATATTGTTCAGTCTTTCTCTCTTGATGCCTTTTACATCTAGACCATTTAGTTTACCTTCTAAAATGTACTTATCCAACAATCTCTGTTCTTCGTCTGTAAGTTTCTTGAGGCGGTTCTTTTCTGTGACTGCTGCTTGGAAGATAGGTATGCTGTTGAATTTTGAGGATCTTGCTTTGTGTGCTCTCTCATGTATTTGGATGTAGGACTTTGTAGGCATTAGTGAACTGTTACCGAGGTACAGTGTCTTTGCCATGCCCCAAGTAAGTTCTAATTGAGAGTCAAGTTTCTCTAATGGTTGAAATATTTCCATAAAGGCGTTTTTACAGTTTTCTGATGCATGCTCAATCTGTCTGACACCATTTTCGTATTCCAGGCTCTGTTTGCTGATTGTGGCAATGCATTTTTCAATCGAAATATCATTAAATTCTGGCAGGCCGTTATCTGAGAGTAAAGTGTTTTCTGCATCCTCGCCTATTTCAGGAATACTGGAAAAATAATGTAGACAATTATAATCAAATTGAGAATCAAGTTATGACTATAAATATTTGTAAATGGGTTATGAGAATTATTATTTTGTGAAAATTAAATTTATTTCTCCATATACAGTATTAGTCTAAGATCCGGCTGCAGAATCAGTGTACCCATCGAGTGTTTGCTGAAAACCAAATTTTTACACATATTCATGATTAGGAGAATTTATATCCACCAGGTTGCCTATCAAAATGTGGCCGCTAGTATTTTCAATTAAATTATTAATAATTCATAATCCGTAAGAAATTTCACTGACTTTTTTTTTCAATGAAATGTCGTCTACTTCACGGCAACATCTATAAAGACTCTGAAAAATTATGGTTGCCGTTGCGCACCTGGCCGCACCTCTTCGCAGCCAGGTATACACAGGTATGAATTTGTTACATTTATACACCCACAACGTACATTTATAATTTATATATCAAATTAAAGCAAATTTTTTTCTGTATATTATTATATACGGTTGCTTAATTAAATCTGGCCGCCAATAAGGGTTGCTGGCTAATAAATATAGTAAATATTAAAAGTAGAGTGAAAGAGAGCTAGCGCGTAACACCACTAGTCACTAGGTACGACTCAAAATAATAAATACTCCAAAAGAAACGAAAGAATCTCCAAAAGAATATATTTTTTTCGTAATGATATAAAGCATGATTAACAGAGAAAATCGGTGATAGCATTTACTTCTTTACACTATATTGCTGAATGATTTTATTAATTATTTAAAAGGTTCGACTACATGAAGAATTCTACGTATTTAAGAAATTGAATATCCTAGGTATTACTAGGTGGAACTATGTGACCACGTTTTTCTATAAAAATGAAAAATAAAAAAAAATATAATTTCTACTAAATAACCTCAAAGTTAGCTCTGTATTATTTATATCGTAATTATTACCTATATTTTTTAAGTTCGATTAAAATTTTACTTACGGTTTGTGTCTTGCAAAAACTTTCGAAGTCTTCTTTATCTTTTTGCTTTAAAACTGTAATTTTTTTCAAACATTTTGTATGATATCCAAAATCATCGGTAGATTCAAGTGTTAATAAAATGTCATGATATTTATATTTTTTCTTGCGACGAAACAATAACATTAGAGAACACTTTTTGAATGAAGCATTATCAAAGTCTAGTACATTGCATTTTTTGTCGCACAGGAAACACGCCTTCATCCTTATAAATTTTATTTCACTTAAATGAGATTGATCAATTTTTCGATGCACAAATAAAACAGCAATTTTTTTTGATCCGTTGACAACACTAACATCTGACGCATGCGCAATGGCTTTAAACCGTCTGACAGCTGGCAATCGCTATCCTCGTCTGACTAGTGGTGTTACGCGCTAGCTCTCTTTCACTCTACTTTTAATATTTACTATATTTATTAGCCAGCAACCCTTATTGGCGGCCAGATTTAATTAAGCAACCGTATATAATAATATACAGAAAAAAATTTGCTTTAATTTGATATATAAATTATAAATGTACGTTGTGGGTGTATAAATGTAACAAATTCATACCTGTGTATACCTGGCTGCGAAGAGGTGCGGCCAGGTGCGCAACGGCAACCATAATTTTTCAGAGTCTTTATAGATGTTGCCGTGAAGTAGACGACATTTCATTGAAAAAAAAAGTCAGTGAAATTTCTTACGGATTATGAATTATTAATAATTTAATTAAAAATACTAGCGGCCACATTTTGATAGGCAACCTGGTGGATATAAATTCTCCTAATCATGAATATGTGTAAAAATTTGGTTTTCAGCAAACACTCGATGGGTACACTGATTCTGCAGCCGGATCTCGTACTATATGTATTGTGCTTTTTAAGATGCAGTTAAGTGTCTGTTCGTAAGGTCAACAAGTCAACATCTAGGACTTGAATGTTACGTAAATAATAACGCGAATAACCCCAGGCCCCAGACTTATCAGTTTTGGGCGTTCCATTTACCCATCTGACTTAGAACAATGTGCAGAGTCAAGTTTCTCATGTAAAATGGTCGTATACATTCAGGACTTTGATATTTTCATTCAATAATTAACAATTCTTTATTTATTGGAATATTTATAATCAATGAAACTTACAGCACAACGTATCCAGCGTTTCGTTTATTTTGGTAAAGTTGTCGTTTGACATTCCGAGCGATTACACTACTACGTAAAAACGATAAAGCCATAATTATATTGTTTGTATTTAAGTTATTAGCCACTAAATAAATTACATTAGTTTCAAATTATTTCATAATCCAAATGCCGAACTCACATTCACATTGATTGTGAATTTTTTGACAGATGACAGCTGATTCTGAATGGAGCATGCATAGACAATGTACAATAGACAAGATAAGTGTTTTTAACTTTCTGCGTTTGGATATCATGTATTTTGTAGGCAGATTTCGTCGCATAGGTCTAGCGAGTTATTCGACTTATTTAGATTTTTGTCTATCACTATCTGCTAAACTTGTTACTAATGTAAAAAATCAATGGAAAAACAGAGTAAGTATATTATTGAAGTAAATGTTAGAAATAATTAAAAAACCAGTTAACGTTTAATACTCACTAAGTTTTGATACAGTTTTATTTTCAACGTCCTTGTATCTAATCTAACGTTATAAGAATAAACTTAAGTCTAACAAAACATAAATAACTATTTTACAATAATAAAATCAACTTTCTCGCTGTCTTTTTCAATTACAGCAGCGATATTATCTACTAAAGAAACATTAACCATTTGACAAGAACACAGTGCATTACAAGCGTTACAAGTATTTGGTTCCAGGTTAATTTCTTTTCCTTCTTGTTTTGTATTTGTTTCTCTGACTGGTGGATTGCAGCAGAAGTCAGTATCTAGTCCCATCTTTTCTCCATCTTCTAAAGTCTGAGGTAGATGTTGATTTAATGTTTCTGGGAGTAACAAGCTTGCTATACCTCCTGCCACAAGCAAGGCGCCCATTATAATTAAAGGGAGAACCATTATATCTGAGCCCTAAAAACGAAAGAAAGGAATTATATTACTATAGGTTAAATAATCTTTAGCTAAGACACGATGACGAATGTTAATGATACCATCTTACCAAATAATTGACGAGTGGTATAAAAATTGGGCCCAACATGCCAAGAACTGAGCTGAGACTCATGCCCAGGCCCCTGACCACTGTTGGATATAATTCTGAAGCCATCAGAGGCAGTACTACGAAGGAAGATGATATACCCATTTTTCCAACACAGTAAAGAGCTAGTGTGACGTACGTTTCTGAAAACACAAAGATTTTTAGGAAGTAGTTTTATAATAATATAGAATCTTTGAAAATGGACTCACCATGTTGTACCAAAAATGTGGTCAAACAAGCTACTCCACCGACTACCATACTCATGCATAAAGTCCACCGTCTACCCAACCTTTCCATGGAGGGCCACAGGAACAGATAGGTGGGCAACTCCACAATTCCAGCCAAAAAGAAGTTTAGAAATTCATCTCCGCCCAAAACTGGAGCATAGTATGACAAACCAACATAAACACTGGTGTTAGTAAACCATATAAAAGTGATTATGATCGTTTTCTTCCTCAAATTCGGTGTTCTGAACAAGTCCAGAATACCATATTTCCTGGTTTTCGACTTTTCAATGTCTTGTTTTAATTTATCCGTTTCGTATTTACGGTGGAGCTGCACCATGTAATTTGCTGGTAAGGATTTGCCGTTTATCCTGTGGGTTATTAAAATCATGTTAAAAGTAAGTACTTATTTATATAGTAGTATTCAATAAACGATTACAACACTAAGTAAATTCAGACGAGCTAACAATAAAAACGTATTTTTTGAAAACAACATTGTGGTTCCATATCCTGGACTGACCTGGCAATATTTCTCAGAATAACTTCAGCTTTCTCGAATTCTCCTCTTGCTAGAAGCCAGCGCGGGCTTTCGGGCATTGGCCAAAGGTACAAAAAGAAGCAAACGAAGGGCAATGTTGTGGCCAGAGCGAGATGACGCCAATCCCTCACGAGGTAGACCACTCCAGCGAGTAAAATTAGCCCCGTGGAGTATGCAATGTTTGATAGAATGGTACAGAGCGTCCTGCTACGCGGCCCCACCAACTCAATTGCTAGAAGTGTATTTTAGTTAATTAGGCGAAGAAAATATTGTATTGAATAATTTGAATGTAAGGACACTTACCACTAAAGCTAGTAATAGGCAATGAGACTGTTGATGATGACGATGGCATTGGTTATAAGTAGATAGCAATGTAAGGAGGAAACTAGGATAGAATTTTGAATTATTAAATGCTATTTACACAATACAAATAAAATAATAAATACCTAAAACGTAAGGCGTAGTCATAATAGCAGGTACGGTGAAACCCACGCCAAACCTGTAGATGCACCAAATAACGTAATTCTGTGCGAATGCCGTGGCCACTCCAAAAATACACTCTATGAGAAGGTAAATAAAAAATGAAGGTTTCCTTCCGATAGTGTCCTGTAGGTAGCCGAAGATGTAGTTGCCGATAATGCCTCCGACAGCTAGTAGGACCAGGCCGAGCGTTGGGAAGAAATCTTTTTGGCATACAAGGTTCCACTGTTGACAAAATTAATTAGCTTTGTTAAAATCTTTCTCATATTTTCTAAAAATATTTTAAGATTGTTTTTGAAATTGCAGTCGTTAGTCGTGGTGGCCCGGTGGTTTAAGACGCCCGCTTCTCATGTATGAGGATGCGGGTTCGAAACCTATCAAGGGCAAGTACCAATAAGTTTTTCCGACTTATATGTAGGTACTTTCTAAGATCCTCTAGACATCACTGACAAACGGTGAAGGAAAACATCGTGAGGAAACCTGGGCTTATAATTTCTAATTATAAGTTTGAAATCGCCAACCCGCATTGAGCAAGCGTGGTGATTAATGATGAAACCTTCTCCGTGTGAGAAGAGGCTTTGCTCAGCAGTGGGCATTTACAGGCTGTTGATGATTTGAAAATGCAAAGCTGTGTTAGTTATTAAGTTATTAAGTAAGAGTTTACCTCTGTGACCACAGTATTCTTATAAACAGACTTCTCGTACGTCCATCCGTTTCTGCAAGGGATGACCTCCGCTGGCGTGCTCTTGAGACCACCTTGAAGAGACTGATAATTCTTTGCGATCTCACTGTAGTTCAAATTGTACATAGTGCACTCTGAGTATTGTAACTGGCCGTTCTTTAGCTCCATTGGGATGCTAGAAATTGAATACTGAATGAAATAAAACAGCCAGTTTAAGGGACAATAAATGAGGCCCAATCCTCCAAATTCATGTCATTCATGTAACTCTGGTGTTGCGGGTGTTCATGGACGGTGCCGATTTCTTAACATTAATGTGATCTGTCCGCTAGTTTGTCGCTTGCTATGCCATAAAAAATCCAAAACTTTCAGAGACCGCGAGAGTCACATACCACTTGACCTTTTTGCACCGTGTTCACATTTTTTTTTACTATTTTTCTTCTTTTTCTTTGGTAACGGTGTTTGGTACATTGTTTTTCTTTCTTTCTTCGATATATTTCGCAGGCTACTGCGAAATATCGTGTTTTACATGATACTTTAAGAATTTTACTTGTTTTTATATTCGTTTATTGGTGCAGCGAAAATTTTGAAACAGATTTTTTCTTTTTTTGACTGCTTCGTTGGCCGAGTGGTCGTAAGTGCGACTGCCGGGCATGGGGTCTCGGCTTCGATTCCCGGGTCGGGCAAAGTATTACTGGTTTTTTTAAATTCTCAGTAGTAGCGCGGAGTCTAGCATTGTGCCCGGTATATATGGCAATAGGCTCACCCCCTATTACATGGGACTCATACACTCAAAAGGCGTGAAGTTATGTATATTTTTTCTCATACCACTCACCTTAAATTCTTGGCTAGACTAACATCAGATATGATATCAAGTTCTGGAACCCTGCACCAGTGCTCTACATGGGCAGCCATGAACAGCTGCGCGTACGCATGGAATCCACACGGAATTACCGCGGGAAGGAGAATCAGGTAGATGACCATCTTTTGGTACCTTCCAAACTGACCCACGTCTTCTAATATCGCGTCGAAATCCATGATGGCGCCCTGAATTTTATTTTATAATTAGATCAACAAACAAAAGGTCCTTAATATGTTTAATTTTTATCTTCCATAGTAGGTATGCAGATTGTTGTGTTTATGTTCATTGACTATGTAAGTTCTACTCACAAATACCTGAGGGCCAAGTACGAATAAGTATCGCATTCGTATCGTAACAGTATCGAGCGCGTTAAGCGTTCTGATTGGTTGGTTCACTTGAGCCGGCCAATCAGAGCGCCGAACGCGTTCGATACTATTACGTTACGAATGCGATAGTTATTGGTGCTTGGCACTCTGAACTGATTTAGGTTGTTTTATGATGAAGTGGATTTTAATCTTCGCTTTATAGTCAGTGGTTGATTTAAAATGAAATTGGACTAATGAATGCTATATTATCACTACATTACTACATATTATAAAACAAAGTCGCTATCCACCGTCTGACTGCCCCTATGTATGCTTAGATCTTTAAAACTACGCAACGGATTTTGATGCGGTTTTCTTTAATAGATAGAGTTACTCTTAAGGAATGTTTATATGTAGAGGTATATTGCACCCGTGCGAAGCCGGGGCGGGTCGCCAGTTTTTAATAAATCAATAACTAGAATTAAACTTGCCAACATATCAGCAGGCAAATTAATTGAATTTTTAAACTAAATTCTTACCTTTATAAATGATTTCAATAAAGCGCAATCTTCATAGTCCACTCTAGAGAGCGAGTTTGTCCAGACTACCAGATTGTGCAAACTGACTGACAAATCCACTTCACATTATTTAGAGACCCTAAACACTACCGTTAGTACAGGCTGATGTATTTTTTTAATTCAGTTTCCTACCTTGAATCCTAGGTAATAGGTTTTTTTTACTTTGTACATCATCATCATCAGACTGTGATAATCCATTGCTGAACTATTTATTTATTTATTTTACACTTTATTGTACACCATAGAGAGAACCATAAAGAGTTTAGTTAAACCTATAAACGACTAGCTAACCCGGCGAACTCCATTTCACCACCAGATGGCTTCGTTTTATGAAACATTTCGTTTGGTGATTAAAAGATGAAGAAATTTCTTTTTCCTGAATTTTCTTTACTATAAACCTCACGGAGCCCGAGACCTTTCCAACGATTTTTATATAGTAGATTTAGCTGCTTTATCTCATTAAATATATAAGTATTCAGGGCTGACGATTTTCTCTTAGGAAAAAAGCCCTTCTAAAAATAAAGATAAAAAAAAACATAAAGAGAATAATAAATAAAAAATGTGTACAATGTATGTACCTACAAACAACTATGGATATTCTTTGCTTAAATTACCTAAGCTAATCTCTGCAACAAAATGTGAGAAACAAGCATAACGCTTTTACGCAAGAGTTAGGTCATCGGTGTGTTAGACAAATGAAATATTTCTAATAAAGAATGAGTAATGCCAAACATCCCGATTTAGTTTTTAGTCAAATTCCGTGGTGCTTGGCGACTGGGCTCAACACAGTTGTACAGTCTCGATTTGTGCCTTTAGGCTTAATTCATTCAGTCTCCTGCAGTAATACACCGAGGGAAGTGGACACTATCGTATTTTTTCTTCTCCTCTTATAATATCTTCTGATTAACTTCGTTGCGGGAACCAAGACAATTATTCATGTCCCTGGGACCCACCAGACTTCAGTGTTCAGTGTTTTCATGGTTGTATCTACTGTAGATCCTGGCTTACAGAAATTGCAGCGGTTTTAGGAAGTTGAGTTTAGTAGACATATCACTGAAAAAAATTGAGAATCGCTCGGCAGTTGCTGCTGGACCACTACTGTACCTAAATAATTTACTAAAAATGGAATTCGAACATAGGTACGTGAATAACGAAAAGATTTTATAATGAAAGGCCGCCCGGGTTTACTGTAACTCTCAATTCGAACTTCCAGTGAGCTCGACTGCATTCTCGCTGCATTATTCTCCCAACCAATAACATGACATGGCGGACCGCAATCGAATTCACTTGAATCTTTCGAATTGAAAGATACAGAAAACCCTGGTTAAGTACTAGGCTATTGTGTAAATTTCAACAGACGCATTACCAAAGTCAGAGTCAAAGCCTTTATTTCAATTAATCCTTTATTAGGCACTTTTGAAACGTTAAAAATTGAATTGTCCGTCCGTCCGTCTGTCAGTGAAGCTAGGCGCTCGTTCCAAAGTGTAGTTTCGAATGGAGAAGAACGAGCAAGAAACTCCATCGTTACTCTTGGCCAGCTACTAGGCCCTAGTAGATGATTATGCGTCTGCTCGTTAATCTCGTTTTGCAGTCCTATTCCATAAAAATAGAAGTTTAATCCTCGGAAGGTAAAACTCTTACAATGTATAGCTACTATTTTTACTGTGTGTGCAATAATGTAGGTATAAAATAAAAAAATAAAACTAAAACAACCTGTATGTAAAATAGGATGCGCGTGTGCAATTATCCCATTCGTGGTCCAGTCAGTCAATTCGATTAGCGATATAATTGGAACAGGCAAAGGACTCTTCCCTGCCCAACCAAGGTCGAAATACAGCAATGGGTACATCGTACATATTCGATATACATTGATGTTTATGTGTCACCCAACAGAAAGTTCAAATGAATAAAACAAGCATTGGATTGAGGACAATCAATTAATTTCGTAGGAAGTTGTGATCAAGGTTTCGCCATGGTCTCCTTTATGTTTTTATTAGGTTATAGCAGCTGATTGTTTGGTATATTTATACAACTAGAGGGGTTCGGAAATAAATTATTTGAGTATTTATTCATAAAAATATTTATTTTATTTGGTAAATGGGTACATTCAGTCGGTACGCATATTGGTCCTAAGTTATGAATTAAGTAGTGTAAAAAATAGAAAATCGTTTTTATAAATAAATCCGAATGGCACAGGTTATGCAGGGAAAACTCGCCTCAATTAGTAGGTGATCGTTTAAATCTTATGGCACATTTTCCTGTACCACTCAGGGTCGTCCTTGGCGACGGATTCTGGTCTTCCATCCTTGTGTCTATAGTGGAACTCGGAGACTCCTCGCCCCGGTATGTTGTTGACGATGTACTTGCAGAATCTCTCCACCATTCGGGCATCCCAGTCCGACGAGACGTAGTGTATGGACTCATACTCGACAAGAACCTGAAATTGGAGAATAAAATATTTGACTTATATCTTAAATATATGATAATTTTCTTAGGTTAAGGTGCCTGCTTCACATGTCTATAACTTTTTCCAAATTAAATCTATTTTCTTTCTAACTTTATTTGACGAAGGAAACATAGGAAACCAAATATGAAATCCCCAATTCCTCTCAAGCTAGATGATCAATACGTGTTCTTTTTTCGTCTGAGACGAGGTTTGGACCGACATTCATGGACAATGGAAATGCTTTCTTTTTCTAAACATTGATTACCATTTAATGCACCGACATGTTCACTTCCTCCTCCTCCAGGCAGCCAGAACCACGTGGAAATGATACATGTGGGCGAGGCCTAAAGCATTAGCAAAAATACGAGGTGGCCCCACTGCGTCGCCCACAATGTACCCGTGTTCCGGCAGCAGGCCATCTAAGAAGGCTCCCACGGGGCGGAGGTCCATTGCACGCACCCAAGCTGCAGCATCATAATGAGCGACACCATTGATGCCTAGTACGGACATCATGACCTTCTCACCATGAGCCTGGCCATAAAGGTGCACGGCCGGACCCGTTTCACACTCAGAACGAAGTTTAAACTCCATATTTCAATTTAAACAATTATATTGAAAGAGAAAACCGACACAAACACTAAGTAATGAACTAAGTAAGGAATAAACTGACGTTACATTGAAGAAGGATCAAATATCTACACTACAAGCAAAAATGTTTATTAACGAATTTGAACTAAACAATTGGTCAGCTAAAATTTATCGCTATTATCCTCAGAATAGGAAAGTTATATTTCAACTTATAAAATTTTGCCTGGCATGGACACTTATTCTCCATCCTATCTACAAAACCGATAAAGAAATCGAGGAAGTCAAACAAACCAAGACCTAATCTCGACTGAGGGTGGAGGTGTTACGTATGTTTGCCGACACATATACCTACACCGTGTCACGAGGTCCAGATCTGCTGAATCAGGACATTACACCTACTTTAATGCAATGGACGTTCTACGAAGTATTGCAATATCCAAAATGCTGAGTCGTCTCCTCGTGTCGCCGCCTCATGCTGCGAATCGCTACATCATCGATCACCAAAAAGTAGCAACTTTTTTGTTTTTGTTGGTTTGAACACTAATCGCAAGAACTACTGGTTCGATTTGAAAAATTCTTTCTGTGTTGGATAGTCCATTTATCAGGGAAGGCTGTAGGCTGTAAAACATTAGACTGCGATAAATAGGCGTTGAGTAGAGCGGGTGAAACCGTCCGGCAGTAGCTAGTCGAATATAAATGATTATAGTTTCTATTTGCACCCTCCACATGTGGCAGTTAAACTGTCAAACACCGCGAGGACACCGGTGACCGCAACCTATTGTTCTTTAATTGTGTCTATAATGACGGTCTCAAACTCAAAGGGTTAATTCAGTTTATACATAACATAACATTATGCCTTTAATTCCCGAAGGGGTAGGCACATTATGGCGCTCAGTGCCACTGTACAATGTAACACCCACTTTTCACTATTTATATCACGAGACCCATGTAATCGAGAGTGAGTCTATTGCTATATACCGGGTACGATTCCAGACTCCGTGCTACTAATGAGAATTTAAAAATTCTCAGTAATACTTTGCACGATCCGGGAATCTTACCCGAGACCCCTTGCTCGGTAGTCGCACTTGAGACCACTCGGCGAACGAGGCAGTCAGTTTGTATATACATACACGATGTAAATTTATTAAATGTAATACACAATATGTCTTCATACCTGAACAGTATACTCTTCATCTCCTGCAGCGAAGGTGAATGCATAATCCTTAGGAGCAGTTCCACTTTCCCCATGTTGGTAGAGTTTCAGGTCCACCCACTTTATAGGCAAGACCTCACCGTTGGGAAGGGCGATTTGACCAAGTTCTAAACTGAAAATAAAGATAAAAAACATCAGTTTAATTATGCATGATAGTTGAGTGGTAAAACGTCTGATGAGCTCTTTAGGTGGTCTCGGGTTTGCAGAATAGGTCAGGCAAAGAATCTGTTATTGGGAGCATTTCGGATTTTCAAGAATATGGTCTTCACTTCCGAGTCTTATAACCATACAATCAATAACCGAATCTTAGAAATATTTCAAATCTTCAATATCAACATCAACAGCCTATAAATGACCACTGCTGAGCAAAGGCCTCTTCTCACACGGAGAAGGTTTTAACATTAATCACCACACTTGCTCAATGCGGTTGGTGATTTCCCTCATGCATGAGAAGCAGGTGTCTTAAACCTCCGGGCCACCAGGACTATGAGTCAAATATTGAAACGCCTTAATCGCCAGGTTGCGTTTTGGTCAGTTGGACACCGGAGACCTATTTAATCTTATCTTCTAGGTACTATACATGCTTCGAAAGCAAAACCAAAGAGTTTGTTTGCTTGAACGCGCTAATCTCAGTAACTACTGGTACGATTTGAAAAATTATCTTTGTGTTGAATAGTCGATTTATTGAGGAAGGCTATGAAATACCACGCTGCGATCAAAAGGTGACGAGCAGAGCGGGTGTTACCGCGCGGAAGTCACCATAACCACTGGTTCAAGTCAACCATAATAAAGTAATAGGGATGATGACAGGGTATGAAAATTAAAAATCTAATTAGTCCGTCAGGTAAGTAGGTAATGAAAAAATATTAGACACGTTTTTTTTTATTTTGCCATATAATAAAATGATACTTAGATATAAAACGGATCAAAGTTTAGAAGTGGGGGGTAAAACGTCATTTCTACGTATAAAATGTACATAGAAGTGACGTCACGCGACATTTTCAAATCAATATGTCATCGAAAGTATTCGTTTCTTAAAAAAATAAAAATACTTGTCTAATGTTTTAAAATAAGCTAATAATAATAATAATAAGCCCGCAGGGCACCTTGAGGCGAGGTGACGGGCATTAGCGATCCCGCGGGCTACCATCATCCCGAGTGCTCCAGGGAGAGGTCACCGTTCCTTCTTCTCCGGCTTGCCTTAATTGGCTGGCTGGGGTGAATGATGACAAGGAACAGGTCTCCCACCTCTGGCTTGCCTTCATTGGCCGGTTAGAGTGGAGTCGCGAGAGCAGTGATCCTGCTCGGAGGGTAAGAAACTATTCGTAAGTCGCGAGTGGGCCAGGGATGCAGGAGGCTTCGGCTGGAGCAGATGATCTGAGTAGAAAGCGGTGGTAGTTTCTTAACCCTTCAGCCACTCACATTCTCGTTGCCCCTCTGTTGCTATATCTAGCAACCATTTCCGGGGCCCGGTCGGTGAGTTGGCGAGTCTCCGCCTGCCATTTTTACGTGTAAAAATTACATTGTTTCGGCAGGTGCCATAGATATCCATAGTTCCTAATTTACCAGTGCACAGCAACCCATCCATAGCCCTACCTTTTTTTCCATTATCCACAATAGTTCTACACTAACCGGGGACTGTCCTTGGGTGCATTTCCATAGTGCATACAGGGATAGTCGCCGGTTTGTGTGTCCATTACATTTATATTAAAGTTGTCTAAAGGGCCTCTGCGCAGTTGGCTTCGGCTCCTCGCACGCCTCCCAAATGACCGGGACCCTGTGGTCCCGTGAATGGTAAAGACACACATAATAATAATGTAATTTTTAATAAGCTAGTGACACCCCTAAAATTTGCAACGCCTGAAAAAGGCCGTTAAGCTGTGCCTGTTATTTCATAAGACCTGTACCTATACCTTAACATGCAAAAGAAGTTTAAAAAAGACTTTGAGATTGAAAAAAAAAATCTGCCAGACGGACATTACAATAAAAATTAGTCATCTACCCCATTAAGGACTTACATGGAGGCAGTAGATGGCTGGCAGACAACTCCTACGCTGATGTTGATACCGTTGTCCAGGAAGATGTGGTGGAAAGCGTATCTGTGCATCAGAGTCCAGTCGCGCTTCTGACCTGTAACATAATCAATTCATAATTTTTAACTTGCACAATTTTGTAATAAAAAAAAATATTCATTCGGTCTTCTGAATTAAGATTGATTTTTCTTTAATTCAATTTTTTGTTGTTAACAAAAATCTAGATCCAATCTGAGATTTTGTATTAAGATGGTTATTAACTTCCGTGATTGGAGTCTGTTAGACTATTCTGTAACTGTCAATTCGAAAGATAAAAGTGAACTCGACCGCATTTGCGCCCGTCATTGGTCGAGATTATTGTCATAAATAATGATATCGCGGCCCTCTTAGCTGTATAGACAGAATTGGGTGCTTTCCTCATAAATAAATTATTTTGACTGTTCAGTACAAGAAAATAGATACCTACAAGAAACTTAATTTTAGTATTTTTCCAGCAATTTTTTAAAAAGCTGTTTGACTCTAAAAAACGTGACGTCACAATACACAATCTCGTACAAAATTCAAAGAAAACTGTCGTTTTTGACAGTTCGATAAAAGTATTGAATTTGACTAACTAGTTGGCAAGTACCCAATTCAAGATTTTCAAAAAGTACCATCGACAGCTTGACTTAAGTACATCACAGGATACCTACTCTTCTTAGTGTGATTCGCCATAGTTTAAAACATGGAATCCGTATTGACTAAATACACTTCATCTACCTACCTTATTTTATTAAGATACTTACCAAAGCTGTGATCTCTAAAGGAGGGCAGGGTATACTCAAACGACTCGTTCTCAATCTTGAACTTGCATTTCAATGATCCAAACTGCTCGTAATGGGACTGGTGAGCTCTGTAAAAAAATAAATTATAGTTAGAGTCATTTAAATTAAATCATTAATAAAAATACGTAAGACGTGCTTACTAGCCTTGAGCTAGTCGCTAACGGGTAACCGGGGAGCAGTCATTCGATGATTTTCCTCCCTTAAAAAAAAGCCTTGAGCTAAGCGTGGCGATTTTTTATGAGATAAACTGGTAAACGAGCTGACAGATCACCTGATGGTAAGCTAACGGAGCCGCCCATAGACACCTGAAACACCAGAGGCGTTACAAGGTGCGTTACCGGCCTTTTGGGGATTAGGAATTTGAGGATTGTTGGGGATTCAGGGATTGGGGAGATTGGGAAGGGGAGAGGGGGTAATTGGGCCTCCGGTAACCACACTCACACAACACACAGAAGCGTTGTTTTAAACCGGTTTTCTGTGATGCTGTGGTATCACTCCGATCGAGCCGGCCCAATCGTGCCAAAATTGTATTTTTTTTTAATTACCGCTTATTTCTTTTCCGTATAAGAACTAAGAAAAGACTTTAGCTCATAAGTAAGACAATAACAGCCAGATGATGGTGATCATGAGGAAATAAAATTATTCTCTGTAATTACTTACGTCTTAAGATTTTCAAAATATTCCCGGCTCCATTTTTCAAGAGCTATTGACTTGATTATGGCCGGAGGGTGCAGGTCACTATCGAAGTCGAAATACCTGGAGGTTGCATTCCATTCTCCGAAGAAATCCACATCCACCAGCTTGCTTGGATCGTTTTGATACCTGATGAAGATATGTACGGGTTTAAAGACCCTTGTTTAAAAGTTCCAGGGAACTGGAAATCAGTGTGTGATGATTCTTTCATACCTCTTTCGCTTCATCCAAAAGACTGATTATTGAACATTCTTTTTATGCATGTTTGTCGGTTAAGGGTACTTTTCACTAGTGAAAGAAAGAAAGAAAAAGCATTTATTTGACAGTGAGTGATGGCATTCTTCAATTTAGTATGTAGGCAGGTAGATTATAATAATATGCACATAGGTTATTATTTTCTAAAGGGACAAGCTCTAGTAGCTTAAATCTGCTTTATTAACCACGACTTTAGTTACTAATAGATACCACTGCAGAATATTATGCAAGAGAGAGAAAGCCATACTATGGCACCAATGCGCTAGTTTGACTGAACTGATACAGCCTCATAGAAAGCGAACGTTATGCCGTGTTGTTGCGACCACACTTGACGGTGATTGCTTACCATCAGATGATAATAACTAGGCCACATCATCGGTTACCACCAGGTGAGATGGTGGCCAAACATCAACCCATCATGTAGAATATAAAAGGTCTTATAAAATATAAAAGTGACTAGATAAGTGTTTTTTTTAATGGACAAACCCACCACGTCCTCCCAAAACCGCTGGAATTCCTGTACGCCAGGATCTACAGTACATACAACCATGTAAACACCGGAACACAGGGACATGAATAACTGTCTTGGTTCCCGCAACGAAGTGAATGAGAAGATATTATAAGAGGAGAAGAAAAAAAAACGATACTTTCCCCTTCCCTCGGTGAATTACTGCAGGAGACAGAGTGAATTAAGCCTAAAGGCACAAAGAAAAGAGACTGTACAACTGGGTGAAGCCCAGTCGCCAAGCACCACGGAAATTTGACTAAAATCTAAGTGGTTCCTATGTGTGAGCTATTATACTTGCTTCCAGTAATAGGTATGGCAAAAGCGCCTAAACGCACGGAAAGTTCTAGATTCCACAAGATCCGTAGGTATAATAAGTGTTTACGAAAGGCCTGATATCTTACCACATCTGTCCTTTGTAAGAGATGGTCCACTTCACCATTGGAGTCACAGGGGTTATTTTAATCCCCTCAGCTCCAAACTCTCCGATTTCTGCTCCAAATAATACTGTGTCAGGTATTTTCTTGCTGCAGAGCAGACCTTTGTTTGGAAGCTGGCAAAGACAATTACAATAAAAAACATAACATCACGCCTTTTATCCCTGAAGGTGGAGGCAGAGGTGCACATTACGGCACTTAATCCCACTGTACAATGTAACACCCACTTTTCAGTTCACTATTTATGTTATGAGTCCCATGTAATAGGGGGTGAGCCTATTGCCATATACCGGGCACAATTCCAGACTCCGTGCTTCCATTGAGATTTTTTTAAACCCAGTAATACTTTTCCTGACCCGAGAATCGAACCCGAGACCCGGGCAGTCGCACTTGCGACCACTCGGCAAACGAGGCAGACAATAAAAATAATGATAAGAATAAGACGGAAGTTGCAGACGCCGTAAGTAAAAGTAATAGGTCTATCAAAGTGAAGGATAAAGTTAATGATAAACGATTCTATAAGATGTGTCTACTCAGTTTCTTTCAGGGAAAAAGCGATGACTCTATGGTCCTTATTAACATAATCTTATAATATCTACTCACGCCGATATAGAACAGTCCGTTGCACATGCCCAGTGGTCTTCGCTCGCAGCCAGCGATCACATAAACGCCTTTGTCCTTTTCGCTATTTGCCGAAATGAAGAATACTGCGTCAAAGGCCTGGAAATTGTTCATCATGTCGGTAAGGAAATGCCTCATTTTTATTATATTTGAATACCTATGACTTTGGTGTGGGAACATTTTTAAGTGACTGCGGAGTGAGGGTTTAAATATACACCTTTTAGTACATGTATGGACGTAACTCATGTAAAGCGGATTACACTTCATCATCATAACATCACGCCTTTTCATCCCCGAAGGGGTAGGCAGAGGTGCGCACAGAAGTAACACCCACTTTTCACTATTTGTTATGAGTCCCATGTAATAGGGGGTGAGCCTATTGCCATATACCGGGCACATTTCCAGACTCCGTGCTACTACTGAGATTTTTTTTTTAAACCCACCCAGCAATGCTTTGCCCGACCCGTAAATCGAACCCGAGACCCCTTGCCCAGCAGCCGCACTTGCGACCACTCGACCAACGAGGCAGTCATGCGGATTACACTTATATATATTATTATGCACGGATACTCTTTTATAGCATTAAGACAAAATCTCTCTGATTAACCCGAACTCTATCAACTGCATTCTCCAATCCCAATCCACGTTAGGCAGGCAGGAGCTGCGGACGACCAAACGCGCCCGACCTGGGGGCTTACTCTTGAATCCAATTCCGATCGATCGACATTGGTATTGTGAAATTTCGTACTCTTGAGTTGCAATACTAGAGCCCATTGCATCCGTATTGCGTAGATATTGAATGAACTAAATGGTATTGAGTTTGTCTTTATATTCCGTACTCTGAATGCTATTGTAACAGCTAAGATTGTGGTTGTATAGTGTTGACATTTAATAATTATTGAGATCATATTGGATTGAAATTGCATTGACATTGAGATTGGTTTCAAGAGTAAGCGCCCAGAACCAGACCCGAGCGTACGGCGCCATCGTGTCGCGTTCCGCGCGCGCCTCAAAGTGCCATCAGACATGGGGCCCAATAGGACTAATGCCCAATACGGAGCCGCGGAAGACCTAACGGGTTATCGATGCTCCGGCTTAAAGCAGATTAGTAGGAACAGGGTGGTCTTTAGTCAGTAAGAGTCTGACACTCTCTCTCGCGTCACCCAAGGCTGGAGAAGCCTTCGGATGATTTATTTTCCCCACGCAAAAAAGCATGGAGATGGATATTATAGAAACCCTATTACTAAACTAAACCGTTCCTATGAACTGTTGATGATGGTTCATCATTCGTCTAGTTAGTTACACTCACGTCTCTATCAGAGGGCTTAGTACGAGTTTTTTTTAGTTTAAAGTAATCGAAACGAGATGGCGTTCTGTGTTCTGATTGCTTGGTTCATTAGAGCCGGTCAATCACAGCGCCGAACGCGTACTCGTTACGATTACTGTCGTAGCTCTGTCGGGTTATTTTAAATTAAAACAGAAGACTGCACAATTAGTAGGTTTAATTATTACAAATCAGAATCAAGACCGGCTCGCACCGACAAAAAGAAATGCCCGAAAGCTATGGCGTGAGTTAGCGGAGTATGTGGATGAAGAAGCGCGGCGCTCACACGGCCATGGGTTTTTATACCCCCGTCTCGCGCGTCGCCGCCTCTATGGTCAATTACTTAAAACGATAAATAAACTCGTATTAAGGCCTCTGATTGGTTTGTTCATTGGAGCCGGCCAATCACAGCGCCGAACGCGTACTCGTTACGATTATTTTAAACGTAGAAGAAACTCGTACTAACGCCTCAAGACTTTTTCATCAGCATGGTCTAAAATGTTTAAAGTGTTGATGGTATTACCTTCGCATGGTCGCTCAAGGGTTGTGCCCTGTCCATAAGGTTTGGGTCAGCAATTGCCTTGACACCTTGTCCTGCTCGTCCATCAGGACCTGCTGCTGTATCCTTTTTGGAGAACTGTAAACAACGTTAAGTATTTCAAACTACAAATTGGATAAATCACGTTAACTGACGTGTTTGCATGATTAGTTACCCACTTTATCATAATGAGGCCTAACCACCTTATAAATATACATTACATAGTGTGGAGCCAACGCGAGGCCCTATAGTGTCTCCCTATGGACTGCAAGGTGTGGCAAAACCTTGGATGATAGCCAATATCGACCACGCTAACCGCCGCCTTTGTTCAGGATCATGATGGAGCCCGAGGGAGTATTCATGAAAAGGTTTGCATGACAAAAGTAAGATAATATGTTGGTATGACAAAAAAAACTAATTATAAATAAACACTGCACGCGTACGGCATGACGATACCTACGTACTTACATATTTATTCGTTAATTAGTACAAAATTAATTGATTATCTCACACCTGCGTTACTAGCCGTGTTTAACTGATAACAATATTAATGAACGTTATCCGATAGCCACAATGCTTTGTCACGACCAGTCACTAAGCTAGTGGTCTGGGCAAGTGACGAGTTGCACGTAGGACACCAGCAAATCAAAGTACCCTATAGAAAAAATTAGAATTTCACCTTTATCATTTTGGAATATAGTTGAAAGTCTAACAATTCGGTGTAGGTTCATGTACTAGTGTGGGCACTATTAGTGCTTCTAAATCGGTATTATAAAGAGCTAATACGAATTTACCTTTACTAAAGTAAGCTAAGTAGGTAGTCTGGCTATGTTGCTCAGTGTTTATAAAGTACACGGTGATTGAAAGTTATTTTATTTTATTGTCTTTGGCTGAATAAGTAGGTCCCTTCATGTAAAAGAGAAAAGGTAGAGACCATACTCTTGTAAAGAAGTCTATCCCAGGCTGTTAAGGTGCCTACTTTTGATCCCGCAGCCCGCAGAAAACGAATGCTATTTGAAAGATAAATAAGGCTTTTTAGACCATGCTTATAATCTAGATTATGTGATGAACATGAAAAACAATTTCATCTACCTAGATACATATATTATTATCTTCCGTGATCTGCATATTCTATGCGTAAGTATATAAAACAAACAAATGCAAACACTGGGCATAACATCTTCAACAATTTGAAATTACCGCTAAATTTTTTATCGATAAAAAAGAATAATACAAGAACTTACCTTTCTAACATAGTACAAGATTCCAAAGAGCACGTATTTCACATGATACCACTTTCCAGGGACGGCGTATATGCCTAAAATCGGTGTGGGATCCTTCCATAAGAAATGGTAGGTAAGTAAAATTATCACAAAGCCGGCGACACACAGCGTCAGTGACATTTTGCGGCAACGACAGAGCTACGACTGTAGAGTATTGATAATATTGATATACCCATTTAAATATACGATAAGGCAGACACATTGTTGTACATTTTGTGCCGTAATAATTACCTAAGTACCTTGCAGTTTGTTTTTGTTATCAGATGTTACACTTTATTGTTGCGACTGTTTATTAAAGAGATTGTTTCAGATTGAAGTGGATAGTTTTACGATACCTACATAGCAGATGCGAATTAAATTAAGCCTAGAGAGCGCTGTAGGCAAGTACCTCATGACAAGGTGGAACACACAGTAGGGGAATGCCCTGCGTGGGCTGGGCACTGCCATGCCCTTATGGACGTGATCGGCGATGGCGACCTCTCGCGTCCGGCCTTAGTGCGGGCTATGATGCGGAGCGAGGGGGACTGGGATGCCGTCTCCTCCTTTTGCGAAGCAGTCATGCTAGCTACGGAGGAGGCGGGGTGGGTGAGGCAGTGCTTCGCTGCCTCCTCCCAACCCAGCCGTCGCAAGGACACTCCGGGCGTCGGGGATCGCGGGACGATGTCCGGCTACCGTAAGCGCAGGCTTGCGGGCGGCGAGCATGGGTGGCTCGCCGCCCGACCAGAACTAAACCCGAGCGTACGGCGCGTCACGTTCCGCGCGCCCCTCAAAGAGCCATCAGACCACCACGGATGTAAGAGTCTTACACTCCCTCCCGCCTGGGTGAGGCGGGAGGGAGTGTAAGACTCTTACTGACTAAAAACCACCTCGTTCCTACTCCTGCACTTCGGGCCGGAGCCCCGGTAACCGTTAATGTTCTCTACGGCTCCGTATCGGCATCAGCCCTATTGGGCCCCATCCGTGGTGGTTTGATGGCTATTTAGCTACGGCACCGTCCTGAAGCATGCCGAAGCGTTTGGATATCGTATTTCTCATCATAATTCTCAGAGTTGTTAGAAGCTAGTTGTCCGAGTTTTATTTAATATGGTAGACTGGGATCTAGTGCTCATAGTATTTTGTGATTACGATCATATGCACGGCAATTTCTACTTTATTGCCATTATGTTACATGTACATTGCTATTTGCCACCTAAAATCCTCAGACGTGCCGATGCCGATAGTGTGCGCAGGGCCTTAGCCTTACTTTTTCTGCTTAATCATTACCCAGCTATGCGCTCACAGTGCAGCCAGATTCGCTGTCAGCCAGTTTTTAAAGTAACCCTATTTTCAAATAGAAATAGAAAATAATCAGCAAGAAACACAAGTTTAGAAGGTAAATAAAACAACAATGAATACTATTAATATTTTACATTTATTAATAAAGGGAAAATAACAAAATCTTAACATAAACTCTAACTTTTACATATAAATTAATTCTTAACTTTTATACGGCTGCAATAAGTAGAGAAAACATAATCTGTACTACGAAAATGACTCGTAACACTAGGGGATAAAGATCGAATTGGTATAACAGAGATTATGAAAAAAATAATGTTTGTGATGTCCCGCAAAACCTTAGTAAAACTAGAGTGATAGTTATATTAGATATCACAATACTGATCGTTAACATTTAATATTATCGTGTTATAGAATTTTATGACGTACAACATCTATGGTTTGCTATAGTCACCTTTGTGCAGTTTTTAGTTCAATTGATATATGACGTCAAGTGATGTGATGCGTTAATATTGATCAGTCATGAACAGTAGCAGAAAGCGTGCGAAAAAAATGTCGGGCAACTGTGGCGCGACTTTTTTGTGTCAGTAGAGCTTCTAGGCCGATGTTTCCAATGCCAGATTTGTATCAGACGAATAAGTTTGAATATTTGACAATTCCATAGTAAAAACTATCAATTGTCAATTTTATTATACCGTTAACAATTATCTTTTGATGTAAAAATCGGCCGTGCACCAAAGTTAATCATGAAAGTTAGGTAGCATTACAGTTAAGTAGGATAAAATTCAAGAAATTAAGGATTTCCATAAAAATAAGTTCGTATGGTTTACAAAACACCAAAAAAGTGCAGCGCAACAGTCGTAACTCGTACAACTTCACATCAATTAGCTCTGAAGTTTGTCTCCATCTGTCACTTACACGAACTTCAGAGCAGTGACGTCATTTGACATGTAATACTTACATAGACAATACAATTTTCTTTTTCAAAATACATAGCAAAGGCGACCTAATTTATACCACCTAAGTATAAACTAATGAGAGATTATCGCAAGGGGAATCTGAAACATACATTTTGACATGATTCGTCTCCTGTCATTTTTAACTGACTTCAAAAAAAAGGAGGTTCTGTTTGACCTGTATGTATGTTTGTGCGCGACTATCTCGCGATCAGCTGAAGCGATTTTGATGCGGTATTCAGAAGAGTGTTGGTTACACTTAGGTTTTAGTATAATAGTTAACCGACTCCAAAAAAGAGAGGTTTCAAGTCTGTTTTTTAACATATTTTATAGAAGAATTATTAAACATATTATTTACATATGTAATACTAAATACTACTTACTTAAAGTCGATACAAGATGAAATGGTAACGACTAAACGTACATTTTATTTGTCGGTGTTAAGGTACATTTTGCAGTGACTACATTACTTAGCTAATTTAATAACAATGAAAAGTGTACTTTGGTGTATGGAGTTAAAGTTTATAGTCGTAAAATATAACATATTTGTTTGAAAAGCCAGTAGAATACAGTTTTTTTATTGTCTCCGATTATATGCTTGCTTAAGCCTTATTCTAATATAATGCTTTAAGCACCTATCTGACGAATCATGCCAACGTTCGAAAAGGGCTCCGGTCCACACGTATTAAATGCAAAACTAAAAAGTTTAGACAAAAAAAATAATAGTCTTATTTAATGGAATGTCGCGTACCCCTAAGGGGTGGTGTTACTGACATTCAGCTAGACTGGTTCAGTGCCAACCCCCACTTAGGGGGATAGGCTAAAAAATAAGCCAATTTAATAGAGAATAAATATTATAGATCCTAAATACGTGTTTCGGTGTTCGCTTCGCACATCTTAACTACTATTTATACCAGTGGTAACTCTTATTTCGACCTCAAGTCCTTAAATATAAAGTCGAAGGCAGATCGACGTGACGAATGAGTTACAGAACCGTTATATATCACATTAACAAAGTATAACCTAACTTGTACTGTATTCTAACTAGGTACGTTTGAGAATACGATGCGTGAATACAAAAGCATTTAAGAATACAAATCTCAACCTTATCACCAGGAGCGTAAAAGGTTTAATAGACCATGACAATTAACTTTTTAAAGAACAAACAACCAAAGGGTTTTACCATTGGCTAAATAGAATTAAAAACGAAACTAGCGCCGCCAAATCGGAACTAACGGACACCAAAACACGTTGACTAAAGAAGACAATCAAACGACCGATGCCCTTAGTTCCTATCTTAATCCCTGGCCGCTCCAATGATGGTGAGGATGTAAAGGAATATGTTGATGATGTCCAGGTAAAGGTTGAGGGCAGCGAAGATATATTCTTCAGGTGAAATGCTGTACTTATGCTTGCCTCCCATCATGAGCTGGGTGTCGTATACCAGATACAGAGAGAAGATTAACGCTCCGATGGACGCGTAGACCAGGGTCACTACTTTGTTGCCAGGGATGAATATGCAGACGATACCTGGAACCAAAATAAATTCACAGTTAAAAAAAAACCAAAAAGGTTTTGGTAGATTGTGGCGGGCCTTTGTGGCTTAAGGCATAATTTTATTTATTAAACTGTCAAACACCAAGCGGTCACCGGTGACCGCGACCTATTGTTCTTTAATTGTGTCTATAAAACCGGTACTCGACGAATTAATTTATTCTTTTACTAGCTTTTACCCGCTGCTTCGCTCGCATCACAAAAGGATAAAAAGTAGCCTATGTGACATATACCGATACACACAGCGCCATCTATACCAATACTTTTTTTCCCTCGGGAATATAAAGTATTTCGGGATAAAAAGTACCCTATTATTTAATCCAGACTTTACGTCTGCAAAAATTCAAAGCAATCGGTTTAGTAGTTACGGCGCGAAAGCGGAACAAACTCACTTTCCAATTTATAATATTAGTAAGGATGTACAAAATTTTATTATGGCACATAAGGCGAACTTAATGCCATATGGCATTCTGATTTTTTGAAAATCAGCGAAAAATAAGGTAATAATTCATTCTGTCTCCTGCATAAATTCACCGAGGGAAGTGAAAACTATCGTTTTGTTCTTCTCCTCTATTAAGATCTTCTGAATTATTTCGTTGCGGGGTCTAAGACAGTAGTTCATGTCCCTGGGACTTCAGTGTTCCGGTGTTTTCATGGTTGTATCTACTGCAAATCCTGGATTACAGGAGTTGCAGCGGTTTGGGACGTTTGTGGCTTATCACAAAATAGTAAGAATAGCTTTTTAAATTAATTATTATATTTTTCGGATTACTCTCGTGAATGTCTGACTTAATTATAGTAGCGCTAGTCGCCGCGTCGTGTGTCGCAGAATGCTGCATATGAATATAAGCCTCTAGTATAGCTTGAAACTAGTCAAGTTCCTCGTCAAAGTTACGTGGGAGTAAGCCGAAAAAAATAAGAATTAGCTTTGTGAATACAACTTACCGAATATAAGCAGTACGACGGTGGCGCAGAGTAGGAACCCGCCCATGACGGTGAAGTCCCACTTCGTTTGGAACGCGAACAGAGTCAGAGCCAGGCACACTGCCGCCGTTATACCTACTGCCATCAGTACCTGGGAAGCAAAAACAGGGCCATATAATTTACTGGTAGTTTTTGGTAGAGGCGATACCACGACCTCACAGAAAACCGACGTGAAACAACGCTTGGGTTGTGTTTCGTATTGTGAGTGAGGTTACCGGTGGGCCCCTTCCCCCATTTCTCCAATCCCCAAAAGGCCGGTAACGCACTTGTAAAGCCTCTGGTGTTCCGGATGTCCATGGACGACGCCGATTGCTTACCATCAGGTGATCCGAAAATAAAACTTTTTCCGAGTTATATGTACTTTCTAAGATTATTTAGACGCCACTGACAAACGGTGAAGGAAAACATCGTGAGGAAACCTGGGCTTATAATTTCTAATTATTAGTTTCAAATTACCAACGCGCATTGAGCAACCGTGGTGATTAATCCTCAAACCTCCGTGTGAGACAGCAGTGGCTAGTTAAGGTTGCAAAGACATGCGAGATGATTACCATTTACGGAATACCACACAAAAATGAACCTTGTATCTACTGCAGTCGATTCAAAGTAGGTACTCACCGCATCGACATCGTAGACGCTAGAAGTGACACCAAGTAGGAAACTCTCAGCTACAGTGAAGATACCGAGGAAGATGAAGTTCATTGGAGCCTGCCTCCGGACGTTGTGACAACAAGCCATTACGATCAGACATACGAACACCACCGCGAACGCTACCCAGCTGGAAATACAAATAAATAATTATTATTACTAGCATATGACTATTGGGCAAAGTATTACAGGCTTTTTAATTCTCAGTAGATTGAGATTGAATTGAGCCCGGTATATGGCAATATGCTCACCCCCTATTACATGGGACTCATAACATAAATAGTGAAAAATGAGTGTTACATTGTGCAGTGGCATAATGTGCACCTCTGCCTACCCTTTCGGGGTTAAAAAGCGTGATGTTATGTTTTGTTTAATACTTTCATTATTTGATTAGAAGTATAACTACGAATAGAAGACCTATATCGAGGCTTTTCACGTTAACGCGTTTATATATGGGATAAGCCGGTAAACGAGCAGACGGATCACCTGATGGTAAGCAATCGGCGTCGCCCATGGAGACCTGGAACACCAGAGGCGTTACAAGTGCGTTACCGACCATTTGGGGATTATGAATTTGAGGATTGTTATGGTTTCAGGGATTCGGGAAGGGGGGTAATTGAGCCTCTGGTAACCTCACTCACACGACGAAACACAACGCAAGCGTTGTTTCACGTCGGTTTTCTGTGAGGCCATGGTACCACTCCGGTCGAGCAGGCCCATTCGTGCCGAACTCTCAAACACTTATTTTTAGCCCTCTGATTGGCTTTTCGGAGTCAAAACGCGATTCAAATTGATTTAATCAATCAATTAAAAACTAAGGGTGCTAAGTTATATATTGTCACTTCTGCCTATCTCACGATCGACGTTATTTTATGTTGCCATACTGAATATTATTAACGTGAGGAAAACAATCCAAGGTTATATTATATGATTAAATTATTCTTAGTAAATATAACTTATTATAAAGTACATACACCGACTTATTATCATGTACCTACAATGTACAATTATATTCTGCCAGAGTTATTAAATTAAGATTGGAATTGAAAAAACTAATATATATATATGTTGTGTTAGTTAGATAAATCCATAGGTCATAAAACATTTTAAGTGTGGGAGAGCCATGCTTCGGCACCAATGGGCCGACTCGGAGCGATATCACGGACGAGCAGAAAACCGACGTGAAACAACGCTTGCGTTGTGTTTCGTCGTGTGAGTGAGGTTACCGGAGGCCCAATTATCCCCCTTCCCCAATCTCCCCAATCCCTGAAACCCCAACAATCCTCAATTTTCTAATCAAAAGGCCGGTAACGCACTTGTAACGCATCTGGTGTTAGAAGCTCCATAGGCGTTTACCGGCTTTTCCCATCAAAAAAACCTTTACGCTACGACAAATAAGAGCCGAGCAGGAGAGTAGTTGGTTAGTTAAAGATACTCACAAGAGCCAAGGATTCCTGTAGGCCCATAATTTAGTCGGTTTGTGGAACAGGAAGAGTGCAATAAAGCCCATCGTTACAAGCAACTGACACATCAAGATGGAGTACACCTGTAAACGAAATACACTTTTATTATAATAGAGTTAAGGAGCTTTTTTGAGTAGAAGTATCTTTAAATTTTGGTCACAATTGGGATTTAAACATAATTGAGATTTGAGACGAAATCCTGATAAATATTATAAATCGGAAAGTGAGTCGGATTGTTTGTTTGTTTGTTCCGCTTTCACGCAGTAACTACTAAATCGATTGCTTTGAATTTTTATAGACGTGAAGTTAGAAGTCCGGATTAAATAATAGGGTACTTTTTATCCCGGAAAATATTGATATTCCCGAGGGAAAACCAAAGTATTGGTATAGATGGAGCTGCGTGTATTGGTATATGTCACATAGGCTACTTTTTATCCTTTTGTGACGCGAGCGAAGCCTCGGGTAAAAGCTAGTTGTTAATATTTTGAGAAACAAGTGAAACAAGTGAAACAAGTGAAACAAGTGAGTACATTTATAAACCCGGTACCAGGGAATATGGAGAATCGGACCAAAACTTTGCAGGTACTACGAGGACCACACAAAAAATTGGTCAGCGGGAGAATCCCACCAGCACATTGTTTGTCCAGCCACAGCGCCAACAGTGAAGTCATATTGTTCTTTCATTAAAGTACATTCAAATTCCATGGACATTTTAAAAACTACCTACATAACATACACAGTCAAATCTATTTCGTTTCCGTCCCGAAGTAAAATGGTTCTGTCTCGGCTCGGTCAATTAAATGAAATGTTTAAAACCAAAAATGAGTGGTGAATCAATACAAAAAAAACTAACTACAAAACATACGAACTCGTACATTATCAAAACATCCGTGTAATTTTCGAAGAGGTATTTCTCGTCGGCTCGTGCGTGCGATGCTATTCGCATCGTACGAAATCGTTTTTCCACGTGACGAAAAAGAAACAGAGGCCTTTTTTTTTAAGGGGGGAAAATCATCGAATGACTGCTCCCGCCTGGGTGAGGCGGAAGGGAGTGTCAGACTCTTACTGACTAAAAACCTCTGTTTCTGAAAAAAAAAACTGACAAAAAAAATGTCGCGAAAAACCTAACGACAAACAGAGGCCTTAGTACGAGTTTGTTAGTACGAGGCCTTAGTACGGCGCTGTGATTGGTTGCTTTATTGGTGCCGGCCAATCAGAGCGCCGAACGCGTACTCGTTTCGAATACTTTAAACGTAAAACAAACACGTACTAAGGCATTCAATCGAGCATTCGAGTCTTGGAGACACACAGATTGTACCCTTTCGGAAACACAGACTCTGGCAAGGAGTTCCACTCTTTAGAGGTTCCAAGTGTCCACGTGGCTACTCGCTAGCATTCCCATCTTATAAAAAAGGTATTATGAATATTACCTTGCGGATAAATCCTCTTCGAATGGACTGTTCGGTGAAGTCGAACCCCTTGACTTCTCCATCTTCTCCGACTCCTTGGCCGGGCGGTGGCGCATATCCTGCTGGCTGAAATAGAAAAAAAAATACACGTTATAAAGTTCCTTCAGTTTATAATAAAGTGAGGGTAAGTAATTGTTTTTTATTGTGGCTTAAAGATAGACCATCCTATGGGAGGATTCATTCAATGTTTTTCCCATATTTTTATAATAACTATCGTGAGACATACTAAATTAACTAAAATCGCGGGTTACTCACGTGAATATACTGAGAAAAGGTCTACTAGTTTCGAACCACAGAGGGGTTCTTCCTCATGAGCAGCGTGCGTGGCCGCTGCGACGTCGCGCAGCTCACTGAAGCTCGCCTCTGTGGTTCGAAACTAGTAGAACATTTCTCAGTATATTCACGTGAGTTGGCATCAGCCCTGTTGGGCCCCATCCGTGGGGGTCTGATGGCTCTTTGAGGCGCGCGCGGAACGCGACGCGCCGTACGCTCGGGTCCGCTTCTGGTCGGGCGACGAGACACCCATGCTCGCCGTCGGCAGGCCCTTATATGTATAATACATACTTCTCACATATTGCACTTGTGAGAAGTCTAGAACAATATATTTTGCCGAGTTATCGATGAGCTATGTTCATCATTATTTACCAGTCACGACATACATAAAAGACAATTAATACAATATATGTATCTGCAATAACATAATTACGAAGTCGTTAAGGCCAAGTGGCATCGATCGAGCCACACGGGTACATTAGTAATGGGTGGACAAGTCAATATATTTCATCAATGAACGGGGGTTGTAGTCAAGGTTGAGTTCGGTATAACTTAAAAGTTAAAACTTATGTTATTGAAAGTTCTAAATATGACAATAACTTGTGAGTGTTTATAACTATGTGTAGGCAGCATAGTAAAAACGACAGGAATATTGAGTTAATTTTATAATGCATCTGTTTACGTGTTAACGTGATAAAAATATAAATTAGTTAGTCCTAGTTGTTAGATGAACAAATAAACTATTTCAGTCGATAATGGTGAGGTAAGCAGAGTGCACGATTCGGGCAAATCAAGTTGAGACTCAATTGATGCTAAATATTTGTCCCCTAAATTGGTTAGAGTAAAGAAGAAAAGTAAGGATTAAGGTAATAAGGTTTGTTGGATTTTGGCAATGAGTATGGTTGCTTAAATATAAACTATAATAACTATACATATAGCAGTCGCTGAGAATTGGAACATCGTGCATCGTGTAGCGATCTAGTAAACACGAAATGAACGACCTACAAACGCTGAACTCAATAACTCCGTGTGCGACCGATTTTTAAGAAAATGGACCACTCACATACGTTTGTATCAGTGTCAGTCTTCTTATTATAGCGTTCTGTTTGTCCTGATGCTAGTATTTTAGTTGAGAAGCGAGTATTTAAAAGCTAACTCTCTTTCTCCCTCGCTTCGATTAGCAAGACCAAGCTATTAACAGGACTAAATAAATATTTTGGATGTATTTTTTTTAAACGAAAGATCGTCGAATGACTGCTACTAATCTCCCGCCTGCGTGAGGCGGGAGGGAGTGTCAGACTCTTACTGACTAAAAACTACCCCGTTCCTACTCCTGCACTTCGAGCCGGAGCCCCGCTGACCAGTTAAGTCGTAATTTTGGACGTTTAACGCCTCTCTAACAATAATTCTGCGTTTTTGAAGTAATATAATCTTTGATGGTGGGACGAATTAGACATCTATGACAAGGATTGGCCGCAAAAAGCTTTACATAGAGAGGAGTGGAAGGAGGCTCCATACCCTCCTTCCACTCCTTTGCCCTGCAGTGGGACGATCATGGCTGGAAATAAAATAAAAATGAACAGAATCTTTCATAGTTTCAGAGATCAGCGGGTCCAAACACTTCAGCTTTATTATAAAGTTTCACAGGTGTTTTACCGGTGACATATTTGTAGCAATATAATGGTTTGATAAAGCACGACTGCATTTTTATGTAAATATACTGGTTTTAGAGCTTCTAAATCTTGATTTGATTGTTTTAAATGTTTTCCACGGTGAACCGGTATTCGATATAGGACATTTATTATTTTGAATATTTAAATAAATAAACAAGTATAATTGGATATGGCGATATCATGCTATTCTTGGGTTTTGTGTTTACGTTAAATAAAATTAAATGCTTTGATTTTGACTTTGAACTATGTATACTATAGATGTCTAAAGATGAGTAACATCTAAAAATTGTCATGGCTATTTAAAGAACCTGTTGTCTATTTGCCATTAAGAATAAAGGTTACTATACCGCCGTATTGTAATGTAATATATTGTAATCTATACAGAAAAATACATTAATTTTTAATGGGATTTGAATTTTTGCCTCAGATTAATTTGGACGATGATTCTAAACACAGACTTCAGCAAATACATTACGTAGATACTAGTCATTGAAAAATGAACCTTACACGTTAGATAATGATTCGGAGTCGCGGAGAACCTAACGGGTAACCAGGGCTCCGGCTCGACGTGCAGGAGAAGGAACGGGGTGGTTTTTAGTCAGTAAGAGTCTGACACTCCCTCCCGCCACACCCAGGAGGGAGTAGTCAATCGATGATTTTCCCTCCTTAAAAAAAAAACACGTTAGATAATAAATGAATCCATCAACCATAATATGATGTTATAAGACCAGTAAATTGTAGTATGTAACTAGGTTCCCTCTTTACTTTATAAAAATTGACTAGATGTATTATAATTAAAAAACTGTATGACAAGGGCACGGACCTAGAGTCCGTGGAGAAATAATCTTTAATATTAAAAAAAAAAGGCCAGTATTATAACTCGACAGAGTTTGGGGTGAATTATACGACCGGATGCGAAGATGGGATGGCGCCTAGACGTCTGGGGTACAAATCGATATGTTTACACAAAGAGAAAGCCAAAACTGTGCTTCCTTAGCTTGGAGTACAACAGAAATGAGTCTGGTTACGATTTTAAGACGCATTTTCAAACTTTTTTGGCTTTTGATTAAACTGAAGTAGGTACCTAACGCCGAAATACTGAAACGTTACTCAATTTTAAGTCGTGCTCAAATATCGTGCCCTCTCTGTCATTTTACAAAGAATTTGTAGAGATAGAACTATACTTAAGCACGAATTAAAATTGCGTAGCGTTTCAGTATTCCGACATATGTATATCTAGTAAATTAGTATTTCGTGTTTTTAAATTAGCGTATTTTTGAAGTCTAACCTAGACTAACATAAACCAGTTACTTATGTAATTCAGTTTAATTTAGATTCTAATCTTATGAGATATCAAATTTATTTTCGGTTATTTTATCAACGATAGTGATTTTATATTTCATTACCAACTAGTTTCTGCCTGCGACTTCGACTTCGTACCCTGTTTTCTCCCGTTCTCGTAGGATTTTCAGGACTTTTTCTATCTTAAGAACCTTATACTAATATTAATAAATACAACAAAAAATGAAATCGTTTCAGCCACTCAGGCGTGTTGCCGTGACCAAGGGAAAATGGGATTAATTTTTATATATACTTACATATAGACCAATAGAACATCGTTAATTTTACATGATATACATAAAATTGCCTTTTTGATTCGCCAGAGGGGTAGGTAAATGTGCATAAAATAACATTTCGATATAACAGACGAATTTTGAATTCATGAATGCAAGTGAATGCAGGACCCTCCACCAGACACAATTCCAAACTCCGTATATTAATATAAATATTAAATAATTTTTATAATCCAAGTTTTGTTACTTATTAAAACACCGGATATGTTCCAAAACAGAATAAAAACATGTTATCTTCACCACAAAACTGTGCTATCTATGCCAAATACCTCCATAAACACGTTTAAACTTAGCACGAATCACAAAAAGCACTCAAAATAACTAGATTTTAAGTCTAATTTCTAAAATTACTAGAAATTTCTAACAAAATCACCTGAGACATGACGATACACGTGTTGAATTTCTTTATAAACTAAGTAAGTTGTTATTCACCTATCTGAACGAATAGATAAGAGTTGCGAGGTATTGGATAGCGGTGGGTGGAGTCGAAACGATAACATATCTTTTAGACTAGGCTAAAAAAACATCGATGCGATTAATCATTCGAATATCGGAAAAGCAGGATGCGCATATTGTGCGTACATACATTTAATAAATGTAATAATATACATAGATTCGTGTCGTTCCGTTGGTAAAGAGCAAATTGTCTAATTCGACGGTGGTGCCATCTAGGAAGCGCAAAAATTTAATTGGATTAAATCTGAGCTTGTGTTAGTGGAAAGTACGGTCATTGGTCAGTCTTTTACAGGTAATACAAGCACTACAAACAACGTTAGCTCTTTATACATATTAATGTAAGTATAGGGATAGATAGTCCTTGTTTTAATAACCTAATTGTAAGATTTATATTTGCATGCCAACAACGCCGAATGTATAAGGTTCTATCTTATTTTTATGTACTTACATTCTAGCAAATAAATATATATTATTATTATATTATTGTCAGACAAGGATAACCGACGTAAAGAAGTATTAGCCTTTAACAGTTTTTGTCGGCATTAAGAGGCTTAATAGTAAACGATTTTAAGTCCTGCAGTGTGCTCCTTTGAAAATGGTAAATGCGTCTCGAAAGGAACCACCTCCCTTCGAATAACTTCGCAAGCCAATACTTAAAATACTCATCGGCCGTAATTTTTTTACTAAGTCTCCACCTTGTGGCTCTAGTGTCGAACTCACTTATTTTAAGAAAATGAACCTTCCAGATTCAGAAGATATTTTGCAAAGTCATTAGCCTATAAATACCCACTGCTGAGCAAAGCCTCTTCTCACAAGGAGAAGGTTTGAGCATTAATCACCACGCTTGCTCAATGCGGGTTAGCGATTAAAAACTTAATAATTAGAAATTATAAGCCCAGGTTTCCTCACGATGTTTTCCTTCACCGTTTCTCAGTGGTGTCTAGATAATCTTAGAAAGTACAAATTAATTTTGCAAAGTAACATAACATCACGCCTTTTATCTCCGAAGGGGTAGGCAGAGGTGCACATTAATGCCACTGTATGTAACACCCTCTTTTCACTATTTATGTTATGAGTTCCATGTAATAGGGGGTAAGCAAAGTAATCTTCCAGAATACCAGTACTGATGCTCGCCAATCATTTACCAAGTGCTTAAACTCTAGTAGACATTAAGATGTTAATCACCAATAATAAAATCATTAGGGGTATACGTGGGCATGAAAAGGAGGATTTATATTGGATAATTATAATGACTCTAGTTTAATGTGATGTGATCTGTTACTGACACAATAGGTATTACTTGGCTAACATTTTCTTAGACATTTTTATCAGATCATGATAAGAAACTGATACAGTATTAGGTGCCCCCTTATCTGTAATCTTATAGCAAAGATTACTTGTTTTAAGTATAGAAACCGGATTAGTTTTATGATAATGTTATATAATTATGAATAATTTACATATCAACTTGTTAGTTTCCAAGTAGACAATTTTGTTACGTGACGAGTGAAGTTCGATTACGTTTTTATAGAAAAAGGGTTATTTATAATTTAAACTGTCAAACACCGCGAGGACATCGGCGTCCGCACACCTATTTTCTTTAATTGTGTCTATAATAAAAATAAGTCGGGTTTTCCTACCTGACGCTATAACTCCAGAACGCTCGAACCGATTTCCACGGTTTTGCAATCGGTGGAAAGGCCTTGGCTCCGTGAGGTTTATAAAATATAAAACAAAAAGAAATCTTCATCTTTTAATATCCAGACGAAATGTTACATAAAACGAACGAAGCCTGGTGGCGAAACGGAGTTCGCCGGGTTTGCTAGTTGTGTCTATAATGACAGTACTCAAAGGGTTAAATTAATTTTAGAACCTAAATATGAATACAGAAGTCAACTATAACGGCGTGAATCACCACTATATGATTATACTACGTGGGTAGTCCACCTACGCAGGCGTAATGGGCTTCCCAACTACTAAGTTCACGGGAAAAATATAGGTTCTTGAACTACTCACGAGTCTAAATCCGCCTAACTGCATTCAAAAGAATTAACGTAAAAAGTACAGTTTGAGTTGAAACATGAAGATTATCCTTAGTCAATTCTACATTTTTCACGACCACCAAACGTCATAAGGTAGCCTACTGGATTTGGCAAGGCAAAGTGAAAGTATTTAATGAATTTAAAATTATTATGAGAGATTGGTATTGTAATGAGTGCTTTCTAACCTTGACACAACGAAAAATTATCGGGATCGGCTTAAATCAGTGGGCTAAAAATAATATTAGGAACCCTATAAGTTACCACTTTTAATACTGATGCAAGCCAAAATTTGACTATCGTTCCCATCCCCAATCTCTAAAAGGACTATCGTGTAACATTGTAAGAATAACCATGCAAAGCCGGGGCAAATAGTGTATTTCAAGCGATCAGCACATTTCAACAATCAGAGCATCAGTCTCCAGCTGTTATACTGATAGTGTTTAAAATTAGTATGAAAAATAGCTCTGATTGGCTATAGTAAAGGCCTTGAACTCAAAATATTACAATATGGCGTTTGCACGTGTTTATTATACGTCGATTAATGTTGAAAAAACAATTTCATTCGTCTTTACTGTACTGTACTGGGTAATTGGGTCTCCGGTAACCTCAATGTCGTGGTGGCCCGGAGGTTTAAGACGCCCACTTCTCATGCATGAGGCGCACCCTCAGGTTCGAAACCTAACAACGGCAAGTATCAATGTGACTTTTTGCGAGTTATATGTACTTTCTAAGATTATTTAGACACCACTGACAAACGGTGAAGGAAAAACATCGTGAGGAAACCTGGACTTATAATTTCTAATTGTAAGTTAAAAATCGCCAACCCGCATTGAGCAAGCGTGGTGATTAATGTTCTAACCTTCTCCGTGTGAGAAGAGGCTTTGCTCAGCAGTGGGCATTTCTAGGCTGTTGATGATGAACCTCACTCACACGAGAAGAACGTGGCATCACTCCGGTCGAGCCAGCCTATCCATGCCGAAGTATGGCTCTTCCACACTTAAAATGTTTTATGACCTATGGATTATAAAACTTGATCGCTTGCTTACCTCACCATATCCAGCGCCATATGCCGGGTATCCTTGTTGAGGGGGTGGCGGGTACCCCTGCTGAGGGAATCCTCCCGGGGGTGGATAGCCACCTTGTGGATACCCGCCCTGTGGAGGCGGATAACCTCCCTGCGGAGGCGGATAACCTCCCTGTGGGTATCCACCTTGAGGATATCCGCCTTGTTGCGGATAACCGCCTTGATTTTGATCTAGAAAAATTAAAAACAAACAAATATAAGTATTGACACACACAGGAACACAGTCATCACCGCCATTTTTACTACGTCACTAAAAAAATAATAATTGGGTGATAGTGCTTCGCAACGTAATTTCGTTAAAATTAAAAAAAAAATGTGTAGAACACAAGGTCAGTACAAAGTACCTTGAAAACGTATGATTATGTAACTTGTGTATATTAATTAAAATCTTTGTTGTAGCGTGTAAATTCATATCTGTTAAAGCGCATACTGCTAAGGTTATGAGCCCCGGTCGCATCGAAACTAGTCGAGCATTCTCGAACTGGGTTTTATGTGTTAAATTAAGTTAGCACCCATGTCAATTGTCAATTATTATAAAAATATTGTGGCACGTCAGATAGGTACTATTGTTTTTTCCAAAAGTAGACCAGTCGATATTCATCCAAACGATATCTATTGCATTTCAAAAGTAAACAAAGTTATATTAAGATTTTTTAAGCAAGGTGCAAATAGTTGGATAGAATCTGTTTTTTTTTTAAGAAACATCTAGAGTTGCCAGTGGTATAGTCAGACATAAGGCCAATTAACATCTACTCGATAAATTGAAGGTGATGTCACTATTATAATGTACTTAAACAAGGAAGTATCATGATATAGGCATAAATTAAATTATTAATGAATAATTATCCTATTAACAGACATAAATCTGATTAGAATATAGGTACATATTATGTACATTGTATATATTTACAGTAAAATTATCAACGTTAAATTTCTGAATAAAAATTAGGTTTCAATGAAAATTTTTGAGGCGTAAAATACAGGGCAGTTATGACTGTGATTATTTAAACAATTTAGAGCTCCAAAATTGCATATGTTTTCTGAAATATATATAGTAGAAAGGATTATTTATACCATATTTCTGAAAATCTATGAAACTTCGGAGTTAGCCTGTTCTCTTAGATATGAGGGAATAGGAATATTTATTTTAAATAATGTAATCAACAAAGCAAAAATTCAAAGCCAGATAGTCCCACTCAATATCATAAAAGAACGTTTTGTGTTTACACAGAAATAAATAGACAATACATAGGCCATGGATAAGGGTGTAAAATGCTTGTTTTGAATCAAAATAGGTACTTAACAATTTTTACTTTCCTCAAATCTTTTTGAGCAACATTTTATGATGAAGTTAGCTACTTACACCCCTTTTCACAACACAAGACACTGAGCAATCAATAGACAATTATTTATAGACATAAGTAACACAATATTCAAGCTTAAAAAAATGCTAACGCACCTTTTGCTTCTGACATTACATTTATTACACTGATATTATACGAAAGAATTTGACAGAACTAAAATGCACAGATAATAATAGTCAGATACAGAAGTAGCTCTATGACTTTATGTACACTGCATATAGACGTATGTGTAGGTGAAGTGTTTTCGTTATTTGCAAGTTTATGTCGGTTGTAGTAAGGTGCAAAATAGAGCGTACTATCTTCTTATAAATAATCTCTGAATGTTTTGCTAAGCGCAAGAGAGAGCAGCTGAACCGATTTTGTAATATCTATTTTGTTAGGTTTGTTATTGTTAGAAGGTTCATGTGTAAGAAAAAATTGACAATGATGCGCAGAAAAATGTCCAGGGCTAAACAAAGTCCGCGAGGTCCGCTAGTAACTTATAGATGTAGGTGGCGTGTGAATGATAACAAACGATTTAAATTCTCCGGGGTTCCCCGAACATAGACACTGACGCCGCCATCTTTGAAACATAAGAGGTTTGTTTACATTTAGAAGGTTATGTTCTGTGGACATTTGATATTAATAAACATTTGATATTTCCGCTTCTTGCGATCCTAATACACAGGCAACTTCAGATTATTTAATATAGATTTAATAAATGCCCGACATAAAAATAAAAGCCTAGTGCTCATTTTCACTAACCAACTTTAAACTATGTTTATTTGTAGGTACTATCATTTTATACATAGATGGGTGAAAATCAATCTTCCACTTCCATTCTCGTTTTAATTATCCATTTTATACCTCATATTATTTTAAGGCGGTTATTATACTAAAACTTTCTTGTAAGTGTAACGAACACTTCTGAAGATTGCGTCAAAATCGATGCAGCCAATCGCGAGATAATCATGGACATACAATACATACAGAGGCCTACAAAGAACCTCCTTTTTAAGTCGGTAAAAAGGAAATTTATCAAATTAGGTGCAGTCGTTCGGTTATTGTGGGCGAACATACATTTCAGCGATTTATTTTGATAATTAGATAAGCAGTTACCATGTAATGTACACACGTATACCGGTAATCCCTTTACGTACAATGAATCGATTGCTTGATAACGACCGATATGCTTTATCAATGACGAAGTTGAAATATGTAGGTATATTAAAATTAAAATATTTTAGATACCAAAATAAAACGAGACGAATTTACCTTCTTTCTTTTATCTTAAAATCGTAAGTTTCTAGAAATGAATGAAATATGTTCTACTTTCCTTGAGCAGACGTCATGTTACGTAATTGAATGAATCTTGTAAGAAGTATAAGCAGTATTCTTGTAAAGCTGCGTCAATACGGGTCGGTGAAAGTATTTAAGTCGACGATGACGTATGTACAACGTAAACAGTATCGCAATGAGTCACCATTGAACTTCGATCAAAAATACATGCGACTTAACGATCGATAACATATCTACAAATATAAATGCCACGTAATAAATAATTATTTTAAAGAAATCAGAAAAATGCCAAGAAATTCTTAGAGTACTAAATCTAAGGAGATTTACTTCGTATCTTATATGTCTTATACTATTATATAAAGCGGAAGAGTTTGTTTTTTGTTTGTTTGTTTGAACGCGCTAATCTCCGTAACTACAAGTCTGATTTGAATAATTCTTTTTGTGTTGGATAGCGCATTTATCGAGGATGACTATAGGCTATAAAACATCACGCTACGACCAATAGGAGCTGAGCAGAGCGTGTGAAACCGCGCGGAAGTAGCTAGTTAATATTATAAATGCCAACGTTTGTGAAGATGAATGTATGTGTGTGTGTGTGTGTGTGTGTGTGTGTGTTTGTTTGTTACTCTTTTATGTAAAAACGGATGAAGAGATCGAGATGAAATTTAGAACAGGGGTAGATAATGGTCTGAAATAACATAATAAATACATTGGCTACTTTTTATTCACGGGAACGCGGGCGAAGCCGCTTGCAGAAGCCAATACTATATGAATTTGTATGCTTCAAGGCAAAACATAGAGAGACTCGCTGTATTGCACTGTACCTATGTCAATCGTTCAAGCAATTTATACAACCTATGTTTATTAACTAAAATCGCGGGTTACTCACGTGAATATACTGAAAAATGTCTACTAGTTTCGAACCACAGAGGGGTTCTTCCTCATGACGCTGCTCATGACGACGCGATCGCGGCGACGTCGACCTATGTTTTCAAATAATTGATTTCATTTTTATTTTACTACGTTTCTACATTTGCCAATAACACACGTGAATTGAAAAAAATATCTTGGTGGCGCCACTTACGTTTTCGGCATTTCACTCACTGTTTGTCTATGGCCGGGAATAACCGACGCGCCACGTGTAAAAAGGTCAGATGAAGAACATGCCATGCAGTTCCAACAAAAAAAAAACAACATTTTCGTTCTTAATGGCGTCTTGTATCGATCTATTTTTGAATTGGAGCCAAGATGAAACTCAAAGTCTTAGTCTTTCATTTTTACATTTAGCTTTACAATTTAAGACGTATTATCTAGTCCGTACTTTGTATTAGGCATAGTAGTGTCGTGTGGGTTTACTCATTTCTACGTAAATTATTTTTCTAAGCTGAAATATGATTAACTTAATTGAATAGGAAACTTGAGTGACGTTGAAGAGGACGTAATATATTATATCGAAAAGGAACTTTGTGGCATGGCTATGGGCGAAGCGCTTATTGTTATCCAAATAAGGTTGAATTTTGTCCAAAGAATTTCCATATTTTTATTGGTATTATGGTGATTACGTACGTATTTCGTCAGTACAAAATACCCTTACCGTTAAATGTGGTGACATTTAAATGAGTAATGTAATTATTGTGACATCTACCTTAATTACCTTCCATTAGATTTGTCATTTGTTATGATAGGTATAAGGTATTCAACAATTAATACACTAATTGTGATCCATGAATGTTGAAATGTAATTATTGTTATAAATAAGGACATAATTCGTTTATATTTACATTGGCACAAAGCATGGGGAAAAAGGAAATGAAAATAACAAACAATGTAGGTATCATGATGACTGTTAGCGGGGAATTTTGCTTGGACCAATTCCATGAAGCAAGCCATATATAAAAAGGTCCTAATAATAATCGCTTAGGGCCGCTGAATGCAGTTAGGCTATTTTGTAACTGTCAATTCGAATTTTTGAAATGAGCTCGATATGTGAGAATAATTTCGTCGACCAATGACGAGCGAGAATGAGCTATAGTCCATCTGTTTAGGTAATTAACTAAAGGTAAACAAAGAAAACCACGTGACACAGAGATACTTAACCTACTATTACTTCAAATATTTCTCGTGTTTTAATTTTAACTAAATTCACTTTAAAATCGTTCATTTGTCATACACACACATACAAGTACAAATGCCTAAATCGTACAAGAGCCTAGCCTATGGGTCTATTTCATTATCATGTTTAAATAGAAACTATTCTGAATCTGATGTACGGATTTCTTTCTTGTACGGATATCTGTCTTTGGGCGAAGTTTCTTCAATATATTTGATTACAAACGATGATTAACCTAAACTTAAATAACTTAATAACAAAAACAAAACAAAGAAACAAGTTAAATTCAACAAAATAGGAACGCGAGCGCAAACGACGAAAGAGCTGTCAATGGCGCCTGATTAACCGACTAAACGTAATACACGCTACTTTCATTGTCGCGCTACATCTTCGTTGTACTCTTTAATTTGACAACATTA